AGATGTGGTATTTCAAACAGTAGTGGGGAAAAGAGGGATGATTCACTCAGTAAGTGGGATAACTTGATAACCATTTGGAAAAAACAAAGTTAAATCCCAACCTCCCACCAAAATAAATTCTAAGTGGTCAAAAAATATCAAAGTAACCCCCACACACACAATTAAAGTATTAAATTAAAAAACCCAAAGACCACCATGGAAAATATTTATAAAGTTGACTACTATATAAATTTTTAAATTTTTTATAAGACCCAAAATCATGTAAACTCAAAAAACAAAAGACAAATCAGAAAGAGGTATTTTCAGATGACATTTACCCATTATGTGAATTAACGGGGAGATAAAAAGAACAGACAGAAGTAAAAATGGCCACAGGATTTGAATAGAGAGCCACTCCCCCGAACGCATGCAAATTAAACTTTCTCTGAAATATTGTTGTACCTATTAGATTGGCAAAGATGAAGAAGGTTGTTAATTCCACTGACAGCAAAGATGTGAATAAACAGAAACTTTTTTTTTCTAAACAGACACTCTTATACACTGTTGGAAGGACTGCAAACTGGTATAACCTTTTGGAAAACAATCAGGTAACATTTATTAGAAATGTTACTAATCACATTCTTTTGATCCTGCAATCCCGAGTCTAGGAATTTATCCAACAGAAATAGGTTCACAAATGTTCACAAGGTGAACATACAGGAAGCTTGCTGAGTATTGTTTTATAAAGCAAGAAGTTGGAAACAATCCAACTGTCCATTAATAGATTATAAAATAAAGTATTGCACACCCATACACTAATACACCACAGTGTCATTAACAAGAGCACACTAGCTATAGGTGTTCAGCATACACGTGTGCTTAAGGTGCACTGTTAAGAAAAGCAAGGTGTGGAGCTGTACAGATAGTACAGTTCTATTTTGGTAAAACACGTTTAACACACATAAAAGGAAAAGCTCTAAAGGAATATTCACCAAACTGTCAACTGTTTAATACGAACTTCTGACAAGTGAGATTTGGCAGCCTTTTCATTTTCATTCAGTTTGTTCATTTTTTCAACCAATATTTATTGATCACCTACCACTTGGCAGGCAGAGTGCTAGACTCTGGGGACACGGCGGTAGACACCCAAAGCCACTGATCTCAAGGAGCTAGCATGGTGTCTTTTCACAATATGGGGTTCTTGATAATAAGCATGATTATCTTATTAGGAAAAAAAGGTTAGACAATTACATATAAAAAGATTATTCTACTTTCAGGCCAGCCCCCCCTTACCTGCTTTCTAATCCACTGCACCAGTTTCTGATTTCTCTGCCCCCCTGCTCTCACTTTCTAATCTGTTTCCTCTCTTTCCCAGAGAGTAACTACCCAAACCTCACCCAGCCTTCGGGCCCAACCTGTGGCCAAACTCTCCCATGAAGCCATGGGCGATACTGCTCCCCACCAAACAGTGGGACATGCCTATGAATTAATTGACAATGAAAGTACACAGACCTGTTCTGCAACTGTGTGTGATTCCCTAGGAACCAGGGGCTGTGACCCTGTCATCCGACACATATAATGCCTGACCCTGAGAAGACCGGATGCTGGTCGAATAGGGATTGTGTTGGCAATGGGGGCGCATTGCTCAGATTGCCATGTAAGAGAACCTGCTGGGGAGTATGGCTGACTGAGAGGCTCCAGCGTCTACGCCTTCAGATCCTCCCTGGACTTCTCACTGAGGCCCTGCTTCTGGTTTCTCCTAGTCAGTGACTGAGCATCGTGGGGACACCAGAACCCGGCCATTCCTGCCTGATGCAGTACACCTTAGCAGGCTTCCTTTGCTTGGCGTCGCCCTGTCTGGCGTGGCCGCAGGGCAGAACTGCATGCAGTCTAAAGCTCTCCCTACCCAAGCCTCCTCCCTTCCCACTCTCCTTTCCCAGTGGTCAGACCTGCATTATAGTCTGAAGGCTCTCCTTCCCTCTTCTGCCCTCCCCCCTTTATCCTACACAAGCATTTCTCTCAGAAAAACACCATCTTTTTTGATTCTCAGAGGATCCAGACCAAGATAGGAATCAATGAAAAAAAAAAAAACACTGAAATATAGTTCTGGCTGGTGTGGCTCAGTGGACTGAGGGCTGGCCTGCAAACCAAAGGGTCGCCAGTTTGATTCCTAGTCAGGGCCCATGCCTGCATTGTAAGCCGAGTCTCCAATAGGGGGCGTGCAAGAGGCCACCACACATTGATGTTTCTCTCCCTACCTTTCTCCCTCCCTTCCCCTCTCTCTAAAAATAAATAAATAAACTCTTTAAAAAGAAAAGACTGAAAGATAGTTCATAAATAAGTACAAAAGTTCATCTGTGAAGTTCATAGTTCATCTATGTACAAAGATGTGCTTGATTCATGCTTTAAACTCTGTGCACATGAATGATCCTGGGATCGTGTTGAAATGCAGATTCTGGCTCAGTAGGTCTGGGGCGGACCCAAGATGCTGTCTTTCTAAGAAGCTCCCCAGTGCTACCAGTGTCGCTGGGAAAGAACACCACTTTGAGCAGCAAGATGCTGGTGTTTGCCTACCAAGTCTCTCTCCTCTCTGCTCTGAACCCTGGGAGGCACACTGTGAGGACTCCATCAGCAGGCTCCGAACTTTTGGTTAAAAGCTGGGTTTGGCCAACGAGGAGCACAGGGAAGAGATCAGAGGATAGGAGGAAGGCGAGGTCAGAGATTTTTATTCCTCTGGAAATCGCCCCCAACTGGGTTGCTGTGGGTTGACTATGAACCTCAAAAGTCATAGCTCTTATCAGAGAGATCTCTCCAGTTTCCTCTCTTGCAGAACTCTAATAACTGCTCTCTCCCTTTCCCCCTTTTGGCCTGGGGTGACAATAGCTCCCTACCTACTGTTACCAGCCTTGGAGCGCAGCACCAACCCTTGTGGCTCTTCATAAACCTGGCCCAGAGGTCTGGAATTAGTCCTTCAGTAAATGTCCCTCATTTCAGCAGCCAAGTGTGCCATCTGTGTCCTGCTGGGACCGTGACTGCTACAAACATTGTGCAATGCAGGATTTGTATAATAGCACAAAACTGGAGAAAACCTAACTGTACATCAGTAAAAATGATGAAATTATGGCATAGCTGCTTAATGGTGTTACATGCAACCATTAAAAAGGAAGAAGTAGATCTATATTCACTTACATGGAAAGATGCTCAAACCATTTGTTAAATTAAAAAAAAAAACCAAACCCACAAGCTTCCGAACAGCATGCAGAGTATGAACCCACTCATTAGACCTTCAAAAGAAAGTTGTGCTCACCTCTGTGGTGGCAAACAGATCCAAATCTGGAAATAAGTGATAGTATATCACCTCCAACACTGGGCCTAAGTGATTTGCTTTATCCCTGAAACTCACCTGCTCAAATACCTTCCATGGCTCCCCATTACTCACAGAATAAACCCCACTGTCTTTATCCTGGCACTGAAACGTTTTGCAATCTGAGTCTCATGTACTTTTGAGGATTTTCCCTAACTTTACACTTTCCCTAGACCTTTTCTTCCAGCCCTACTGGCCCAGACCCTAAGGGCATTACCATCTTCATTGGTCTGCCAACACCATGACCCTTATTTCTTCCTCACACCCTCACCAAGTTTTGTTCTGTGTTATAACTCTACATATGTGAGACTAAATCATTCAACAGTCATGTTCTGAGGACCTACTGTATGCCTGGCCTTTTGCTAGGCTTTGGGGCCACAGTTCACAATCTGTGGAAACCAACCACCCTCTCAGAACATTAATGTTTTCATGATGAGCAGATGGAATCAGCAATTTGCAGGCAGGGTGGCTCTTGTTAGAATCTTTCTCTTTCTCTCTGCCTGGACTACACTCTCCCCAAATATCAACAAGGCTCAACTTCTCAATTCCTTCAGATCTCTGTGCAAATGTCACCTTTCTCTACCCACCCTGTTGTAAAACAACATCCCATCCTCTGTCCTACTCACTTGGATTTGTTATGTTCTATTTACTATTTGAATAGCACTCATCACTCATATTCATTCCTTACTTGTTCGTGTATTTACAGCCTCTCCCCAGTGTCAGGGCCAGGAAGGAAGGGAGTTTATTGTTTCTGACAGTTTTTCCAGCACCTAGAGCAGTACCTGACACGTGATAGGTACTGGAGTAATATTTGTTGAGAATAGAAAGAGAACTGGACTAGATACACAGAAGACCTAGGTTCTAGTCACAGCTCTCCCACAGGAGAGTCATGGAGCCTTTAGCAAGGTACAACCTCTTTAAGACTCAGCTACCTCCTCTGTAAATTGAGGGTGACCTTCTGGTGGCTGACAGAACCACTACAACAACCTTGCCATGTACAGAACCAGATCGTACAGGGTGTCCGACTTCAGGATGCATCAAAAGAACCTGGAGGGCTTGGAAAAACACGGTGGGAAAAGGGTTCCACACTCAGCTTTTAGTTCAGTAGGTCTGGGGTGAAGGTAGAAAATTTGCATTTGTAAAATGTCTCCGATGTTGCTGATTCTAGAGACACTGATTAAGAGAAAGGCACAGAAGGCACCTGAAGCCCTATCGACTCGGCCCAGATAAGGGTTGGCACTAAGGGTCCACAGGACAGTCTGTAGGGAAAGACTGGAGCCATCCGTTCTCTACTTTAGTCAACAAATATTTTGGAAGAGCAGCGGGCCAGGCCAGCAGCGGGCCAGGCCAGCGCGGCGCTTGACTCAGAGCGGGGCCCAGCGGTCCGGCGCTCGGCAGCGTCAGGAAGGCTGGACAGCCGCCCCGGCCTCCGCACCGGGCAGGAAGTCTCCGGAGCCGCGGGGAGGGCCGCGAGCCGGCGCGGAGAAGGCGAAGGTGGACCTGCGAGCCAGGGCCTTGGACGCCGCTCAAGGCTTCCCGGAACCCGGGGTCCGCCCGCGGAGGCAGCGGAGACGCGACCTCGCCCCCAGCGAGCGAGTCCCGCACACAGTAGGCGCGCAGGCGGGCGGAAGGGGGCGCCAGTGCACGGTATCCGGGGGCGGAGCCGAGCAGGCGGCTGGGCAGAAGGGCGCGGGCGGCGGGCCTCCGGCCGCGATGGGCGAAGGAGGGCTGCCCCCGGCCTTCCAGCTGCTGCTGCGCGCCTGTGACCAAGGCGACACGGAGACGGCGCGGCGGCTGCTGGAGCCGGGGGCGGCGGAACCAGCGGAGCGCGGTGCGGAGCCCGAGACCGGTGCGGAGCCGGCCGGGGCCGAGGCGGCTGGGCCCGGGGCGGCGGCGGCCGGAGCGCCGGTGCCCGTGGACTGCTCCGACGAGGCAGGCAACACGGCGCTGCAGTTCGCCGCGGCTGGGGGCCACGAGCCGCTGGTGCGTTTCCTGCTGCGCCGCGGCGCCTCGGTCAACAGCCGCAACCACTACGGCTGGAGCGCGCTCATGCAGGCGGCCAGGTGAGGGGTCGGGGGCGCGGGGGGGGGGGGGGGGTTGTCCAGTGGTCCCCGGGGTCAGGCGGCCAAACTTGCCTGCGGAATCCCCGCAGACGCCCCGGGAGGTAAAGAGTCAAGGACTCGTGCGAAAGAGTTGGAATGGTAAACTTTGAGCCGCTTTGGTATATGGCTCTGAGAAGTGGAAGCTAGAAATTATTGGCCTTTCAAAACATAATCTTTACACTGCGAGTGGAATCTTAGAAACTCAGTCATCGTGGTGTTCATTCATTCCTTCTTGCAACAAGGGTTTCCTAAGAACCTGCCTACCCACACTAGCTTGGTGATGGGGATACTGTGGGACCCAGGTAGAATCCCCACTGGGAGCAGCCCACATGGCAGTGGGTAGGCCAGACAAGGGAACAGGCTTGGCAGGGAAAGTTCAAGGAGCTCTGGGAGTAGCAGACCCAGTTTAGGGAAGTGGGAGAAGGTTTCTGGTAAGGATGATGCATAGATTCAAGAGGAGACCTGAGGATGCCTAGGAATTAACCAGGATGGAAGAAGTGGGAAGTGGGAACCGGGTGATAGGAGACTCCTACAAAGGTTTGGAAGCAAAAGTGAACATAAAGCAATGGTAGGAGTGTTAGAAAGATGTTATGGCTGGGCGGCGGTTGGGGGTGATGGGAGAGAAGGTGGCAGATGCCAGGTGGCAGAGCTGAGAAAAGTTAACTATCCTAGGGGCACTGGAGAGTAATGGAAGGTTCTAGACAGTGTGAGTGACAGAATCACATTGTTTTGGAAAGTTGCTTCCACAGTAGTGTGAGGATGGATGGGAGGGGTGGGATGAGTCATAAAGGCTAGTTTGGAAAAAATTTCAGTGGCCTAGGAAGAGGTGATGTTGGCCTGGAGCAGAGCAAGACATCTGCGAGAGAGCCAAGAGATGAGTGTCAGATGTACTGAGGAAGCAGGATGAACGGGACTTGAGACCCTGGTACAGGATAAAGAAACTCGAGTTTACTGTGAAGTCTCTGACCCCTGTGAGCCATCTACTTAGGTCCCACCACCCCTCAGTTTCTTGCAGAAGTTTCCCAAGAAGGGAACACAGATCACTTGTAATTGTGATGGAGATTGCCACATTGCTTCCCAGACAGGTGAGTTAGTTTCCTAGGGCTGCTATAACAGCTTTCCACGAGGTCAGCAGCTTCTGTCCTCACATCTGCCGACTCTGACTCTTTCACCCCCTCTTCCACATTTAAAGCTCCCTGGTGATTCCCTTGGGCTCACCTAGATAAGCTAGAACAGGGGTGTCAAATTCATTTTCACCAGGGCCACATCAGCCTCAAGGTGGCCTTCAAAGGGCCAAATGTAATTTTAACTCCTTAACAGTTAAGGAGTAGTTACAGTTCTATAGTCCTAAAATTATTTCAGCTCTTTGAAGGCAATCGCGTGGCTGATGTGGCCCCTGGTGAAAATGAGTCAGACACCCCTGACTTAGAATGCTCCCCATCTGGAGATCAGCGGATTAGCAACCTCTGAGATCAGTAGTTGTATCTGCAACCTTAATTTCCCCTTTGCTGTGAAACCTGTCGCAGGTCCCAGGGATGAGGGGCCGTTGTTCTGCCCGCCACAGCAGTTGTGCCAGTCTGCCCTCGGGCAACGGGGTGTGTGAAAGCTTGTTTTCCTACTGTCTAGCCGACAGTGCGCATTAGCAAACTTTTGGGTTTCTCTGTGTGATGGGTGAAAAATCAATCTTAGTGTAGCTGTGATCTGCATTCATTGAATTGAGTGAAGTAAAGCATCTTTCCATATGTATGAGCCATTTATTTTTGCTCAAAGGCATTGAAAACTGAAAACACGTTCTTAGCCATAATGCTGATGATATTTCTTTGAGTTATTTTCTAAGTGTTACACAGTTGTTTGAATTAATTTGTATTGCTGGACAATTTGTCTTCTGCATTATTTTCAAGTGTATGGTTTTCAACTGCTGTGCAGAATTCTGTTGATGGTACAGTACTGTGATTTGCTTAACCATTCTCCAGGCCCTAGGCATTTATCCCAATCAGTCTGTAAACACACTTTGGGGACACATCCTGGTCAGGGAGTGCATGCCTGTTTGCATGGGCAAGTCAGTGTTTCATGCTCTTACCTGCGTGTTGGGATCCTTTGTCTTAAGACACCTGATTTCTTACCCGGAGCCATCTGAGGCGACCATAAAGCCTTTGGGGCTATCCATCTTTCTTTTGCATTCCCTGTCTCTCTCAGGGCCTTCCACTCTTCCAGGCTTTAAACTGTCATGTAAGTCCTAGGCCTTGGTACCTGTCTGTGCCATGGCCTAACCATCCCATCTGTTGGAGTCCACACCCCTCTCCCTCCCCTCTGCTTTAGCCCAGGCCACACCTTGTAGTGGCCTTCTCCTGCCTTCCGTCCCTCCATCCCTCCTCCACAGAGCTTCCAGGTCTTCCTCAAACGAATGCTTGGCTGTGCGTCTCCCAGGGTGAGAGCCCTCGGCGTGACGGCATTCGAGACTCCCCCTTCAGACCCCTCACCAAACTCTCTCTTTTGCTTTTCCCTGGCTTCCTAAACTAAGCTCGGTTTAGTATCTAAACTAAACTTCCTAAATTAAACCTAAAACTAGGCCAAGATGATTTCATCCAGACTTTTTCTGTGTCTCTCTGTGCTGTGTTTTGTTTTGTTGGTGGTGGTGGATGTGTGTTAACATTTATCGAGCATTTATTCTGTGCCAAGAATAGTATCTCTACTTCAAAGGTGAGAAACTGAGATTACAGATTTGCTCATGAGCACATAGCTAGTCAGCGGATTGGGGAAATCTGACTGCAGACCTGTTGCCACACCACATATAGGAAGCCCCTTCTACCCTCAATGAGGCCCCTTCTTCCTCCCAGCCTGGCTGCTTCTGGAAAGCCTGCCTTGATATGCCTCCTGTTATCTGGTCGCTCAGCACCAGGGGGGCCCTGCAGTGGTGCCCACCACCTCATGTCAGCTGGTCCCCTTCCTCAGGGGCACCCCCACCTGCCACACATCAGAATCCCCGGGAAGCTTTTCCAAATTAGATTCCCGAGTTCCCTTTCTGGGAACTGTGATTCAGGAGGCCTGGTGGGGAGTGGGGGAAGGACAGGGAGGGACTCCGTGCGAGAAGAGGCTGCCTAGCGATTCTGTCACGTGGTAGGTTTGGGAGCCTCATCTCTGAACCCCCAGCCAGGGCAGCGGGGCCCTTCGTGAGCCCTGGGGCACCGTGCTGAGCACGGCTGTGACTGCAGGGTGTCTCAGAGACCCCGGGTCCCCAGTTTGTGCTAGAAACCAAGTGCTGCAGGATGGGCAGTCATCGGATTCATTTCATCTGATTGATTTCTGTTAATCTTGATGGAGCAGAAGACTCAAGAATTAACCCAAACTCTGTTAACTGATTTAACATTTTTAGAGAACTTCCCTTCTTCTCTACAGTGCGGCACTGTTGGCTGCAAGTTGTGGTACAGTGTAGCCTGATTTTGTCACTTGCAAATCAGGAGGCTCTGGATTAGTTACATTCTCCGTTCCTTCATTCGCCTTACTGGTGCCGCTTTGGGGGCTGTAGATATAACAGACTCTCTTATTTACGCCTATGAGAGTATGAGAGAGTCTGGCAGTCCTGTGAGAGGATTAGAATTGACCTGGACAGGGCCTGGTTACTTGAGCCTGTATTGTCCTTCAGCTGGCGACGCTGACCGTCTGTGCTCATTTGTCGCCTCCATCCAAGTTGGGATGTGCTCTTGATTTCTGCTGCCTACACTAACTGTGCTGAGGACTAACATGTATGGGAGCCTTTCTGAAGGATGTACAGTCTGTCCGTCCCTCTGATCAGGACGGGCAGCTGCATGCCATATGCCAGCATGTTCCAGCTGTGCCCTTCCTCCCCGGATCTCGCTACCACTCAGAGTGTGCGGAGACGGTGCTCCCGGCAGCTGCCACTTTCGGTGGAAGAGAGCGCCTGTTCATCCTCCCAGCTGTATCTTCCAAAGCTCATCATTGGATCAGGCTGGCCAATCAGAGGCTCTGCACCTGGGCTACAGTTTGGTCTCCTATGGATGCTTTGGTGTCAGAAATGGTTCCATTCATGTTTTCCATTTTTTAATTTGTAAAATTTATAAATTTTAAAATTAAAAATTCCCCCTCCATTTTTAAAATTATAACCTTTATTGAGCACTTACATCGTGTTAAGAATGGTGCTAAGTGCTTTAAACGAATGAACTCATTCAATCCATATAAAACCTTACGAAGTAGATATTGTCTTCCCCATTTCACAGATGAGGAATTAAGACTCAGAGAAGTTAAGTAACTTGTCCAAGACAGCACAGCTAGTCAGTGGCAGGGTCAGATGCACACCCCCTGGCAGGTGTTCCTGGCCTCTGCTCCCAGCCATGGATCCTGTAACTGACCATTTCCTTCCTGCTGTCGGCCACAGGAAGCCACTTGCTAAATTTACCTGATGCTGAAAAGACAGGTTGGCCTCTTTCCTTTCCTTCTCCTGCCCTTCATTTCTCCTCCTGCCAGTGTGGCAGAGCTGGACTCTCAGCCTAGTGCTTTGAGTGGTGGGTGTATGTACCAGGTCTTTAGACACGTGTAAATTGCAGAAATTAATTGGTATTCGTAGCATCTGTTTAGAAAGCCCTGGCTTCCCTGCCTTCAGTAATTACCTATTAGAAATTTAGCATCCACAAAATTATCTCAGCCTTTGTTGAACCCTTTTATATTTGCAGCCTCATTGAATGAGCTCTTGGGCTACCCCATGAGTTCATTTCTACTGAAATTCGGCCTTCATCTTCCTCATTGAACATGTGTTATACCAGAAGAGTGGGTTTGGGATTTTTAGGGCCTACGTTCATTCAAGTTTTGACTCTGTCACTTCCAAATTTCCAGATTATTGCTCTCCATTCTTGTCTTGGTTTCCTCATCTATGAAATGGGCAGTTTAATCTCAGGGTTTGTTCAGATCAAATGAGATAAAATTGTGATAGTACCTTGTAATCCTATGTTAGGGATTACACTAGATTTTATCTCCTGCTGGATAAATACACAGAGCAGCCTTTTAAATTCTCTGCTGCAGTGGGAGGGCATGTCAGCTCTCCAGTGGTTCTCACTGCCGTCTCTGGACCCACCCTGTGCAGTGAGGGACCGGTCACTCAGTCACTCACCTGTTTGCATGACAGACTCTGCCCAGCTCCACACACTGGGGGGCAGCCACCCAGGCCTGTCTTTAGAGAATCTAGTACTGGGTTGACCAAAATGTTCATTTAGTTTTTTCCATAAAAGAAAAGACACATTTTACATTTTCACCAATAACTGCACTGATATGGGTATTTTGGGTATGTTGGCCATCTCCTGCTATTGGCTTCTGGTGGGTAGAGGCCAGGGTGCGGCTAACATCTGCCAGTGCATACCCCACAGCAAAGAATGATTTGGCCAAAATGTCAATAGTACCAAGAAACTTCTCAAACTACTTCTGACATATTCAATCCATCACAGCCCTTTCTTCATACACGGCACTGATCTTTTTTTGCATTTCAGTTGCATTGTTACCTTTCTTGACAAATAAAGCATACTATGCCAAAAATTGTTGCCTGTTTTCTTCCACTTTCAATGTTAAAATGGCTGCACAAAAATTCACCATTTTTGATACTTTTTTTTAAATGCACACTGATATGACAGCTGTCATAATATAATCTAACAAAACCGTTTTGAATGAGGTAAAGACAGCTGGGCACTACTGGAGCCATCATACGGAAAAAACTAAATCAACTTCCTGGCCAGCCCAGCCATTGGTGAGCTCAGAGGAGCGTGGCCGGAGGGTGCCCTGGGGGAGTTGGGAGGAGACGAGATTGACAGAGTTGGCAGGCCTTTGGGCAGTGCCAAGTGGCCATCAGATTCAGCGTGTGGGGATATCATTTTTGGTTTTGGGGATGTCATGGAAGATGGGCAGGAGGGAACACCACAGGAAGCAGGGAGACAGGTTGGGGTTGCAGCCTTCTGCCTTCGAGTATATTTCAGCCTGGCTTGCCCCCTCTCGGCTCTTGGAGAAGAGGCAGACTGGCTCAGTCCCCCAGTAGCTGGAGGGGCCAGCTCACCCAGCTCTCCCTCCACGGGCAGCGCCCCGTAGGCTGCAGTGACCTGGTGCTGTTAAGGTTCACGTCCCAGAAGGTATTTGTGAGTTAAGACCAGAGCTCAGCCTCAGCTCTGCCCCCACAGGGAGGAGGGAGGCCCTGTGTTTAGCTGAGCTACCAAGACCACTTTCGGGAAGTAGAAGCCCACAGCAAGAGATTCAGAAAGTTACCTTGCCGAAGCAGACATTACTCAGGCTTTATGGCCTTGGATGAGCTGGCAAAGCTGGCCCCCTCTTCTTGTCATTCTTTCCTTCTTGGTCCAGGCCTCTTCCAGCTCTGACACACAGCTCTGAGCCCAGACAGAGCGTGCCAACCCAAAGCACTATAAAACAGAACTTCTTCGCCCTCTGGCGGCAGAAGAAGGGAGGGATTTTGCTAGGCAGGGCCATTTGTTTTCCTCTTCCTCGTGTTACAGAGTCGGTGGGAACTTGCTTGTCTCCCCAGTGTCCCAGCAGGGCCTTGGCTCAAGCTTCCCTGAGGGGGGTCTGGCCCAAGGCCCACATCTAAGCCTCCGGCAGTGGACATTCCTGCCAGCAGGTGGCAGCAGGCCTCTGGCGAGACCTTAGAGCCTAGTTCTCCTGACCGCAGCCTTGCCACACCTCTTGGCATAGGGTCCGGAGCCTCTCGTCTAGAAGGACCTTTTCTGTGTCTGCATTTAGGGAGGGGAAGGGTAGACGTGACTCATAGGTGGGCCCTTCCCATGGGGAGATCAGCGTGGGCAGCGAGAGAGATTACTGGGCTGCAAAACAGCATAAAATGACCTTTCCAAGCCGTGGGAGGCAGTGCGGTGCAGGGAAAAGCGGGAAGGCCGCAGGACTCAGACAGACCCGGGTTCTGGCCCTGATGCAGCCTCACCGGCTGGCTGGCCTTGGCATTGGCATGTTGCAGAATGCAAAGTGATCGCAGTGGTAATAGCTAACACTGGTGTGGTGCTTCCTTTGGCCAAGCCCTGTTCTAGGCGATTCAGTAATTATATATTTATGATATATTTAGGTACATTAACTCAATCCTTAACATTCCCTTGAAGACAATACCATTTTGCCCCCATTTTACAGATGAGGAAATGAAGGCACAAAGAAGTTAAAGTTCTTTCTCAGGGTCGTGCAGTTAGTGGGTGGCAGCACCGGGTGCAAACTTAGGGCAGTTGCTCACCTCCGTGGTGGGGCAGACACAGGGCTGGCACCGCAAGAAGGCCTTTTATTACAGGCAGCCCTGTGACTGAGTGGTAGATGAGCATTAAATAAGTGTTTCCTCACCAGGCTTTGTGTTCAGCATCACTGATTCTCCATCTTCCTGGCAGATTTGGACACGTGAGCGTGGCGCACCTGCTCTTGGATCACGGTGCTGATGTCAATGCCCAGAACCGGCTGGGGGCCAGTGTGCTCACTGTGGCTTCTCGGGGTGGCCACCTGGGTGTGGTGAAGCTGCTGCTGGAAGCTGGTGCCTTCGTGGACCATCCCAACCCCTCAGGCGAGCAGCCAGGGGCAGGGGACAGCAGGGATGAGCTGCTGGACATCACGGCCTTGATGGCGGCCATCCAGCATGGGCACGAAGCTGTGGTGCGTCTGCTGCTGGAGTGGGGTGCCGACCCCAACCACACGGCACGAACCGTGGGCTGGAGTCCGTTGATGCTGGCAGCATTCATTGGGAGGCTTGGCGTGGCCCAGCAGCTGGTAGAGAAGGGGGCCAACCCCGACCACCTCAGTGCATTGGAGAAGACTGCTTTCGAGGTTGCACTTGACCGCAAGCACAGGGACCTTGCAGATTACCTGGACCCATTGACCACCGTCAGGCCCAAGACAGGTCAGGCTGCTTCTCCCCACCACTACCCCCACCCCCATGGCTTCACAGAGGACCCCAAATTGTGTTTAAATGGCTCAGGCTGAGGATCGAGGAAGGGCATGCAGAACCCAGAGTGTAGCCCACAGAGCGGTGGCACTTAGGATGTGCTGTGTGTACAATTCAGTTGGGACTGCCTGTTACATGCCACCTTTCCGGCCCACCCTCCACAGAGAGGTTTGGTAGCCCTGGGAAGAGCCTGGAAACCTGCATAGCAAGGTCCCTGCTCCCTAACCAGGCGATTCTGATGCAGGTGGTTCTGGGATCCTTTAAGAACAGGGTCAGCAAACTTTTTCTAGTAATGGTCCAGACGATAAATATTTTAGACCTTGTGGGCCATACAGTCTGCCATCATTCTTTCTGCTTAATTCTACTAGGATGAAAGCAGCCATTGTGATATGTAAATGAGTGGGTGTGGCTCTGTCCCAATGAAACCCTCATTACCGACACAGGCCGCAGGTCAGGTCTGGCCCATGGACAGTAGTTTGCTGACCCTCTGGAACAGTGTGCTTGAACTTGTCTATGATCAGTCCCCGAAGACTAGTTCACATAAAGTTCAGTGCACTTGCGAAGTTTTTCCACACCTAGTAAGGTGTTCTGTTTTTTTTTCCTTTTGCTGTCTTTCTGGCATTTGAAGGGCTGTCTTAACAATCCTTAGCAAATCTGCCACAGGACACATTGCCTTTCAAATCTTCTGTTCATCATGTGCAGTAGAACCATGAAACACAATGCCACACCCAGCCCCACACCTGTGACCTCCTTCTGCGACGGGTCCGACTTGAGTGACACGCAGCTTGAACTGTAAAGATGGGCGGCAGCCCTGGCCAGGGGCTCAGTTAGTTGGAGCGTTGTTCCGTACACCGGAGGCTGTGGGCTCCATCCCTGGTCGGGTGCGTACAGGAGCCTGCCGATAGGTGTTTCCCTCCCCTCTCCCCTTTCCTTCTCTAAAATAAACAAACATATCCTCGGGTAAGGATTACAAAACAACAACAAAAAAGAATTATGCTCTTTAAAAAATAATCGAGTGGCAGTGTATGAGTGTGCAGGGCCGAAAGGTGAGAATCTGGAGGAAAGGCCAGTGGAGGGCCCTTGGACAGCGGGTGGCCCGAGCTCCCCCAGCTCCCCGAGCTCCTGTTTTGTTGTCCATACACGGGGACGGGAGCAGCGCCGCCTCGCAGGACTCCCATGAGGACTGAGCGAGGTCACCCTGGCCCGGAGGGAGTGCCTGAGAGGTACCGGCCGCTGCCATCAACTGCTGTCACTCATATTTGACAGGATCGGGCTATGAGCACAGACTTCCCCATCCGGTGGACCCTGGGTTGAGGCTAGTTCTTCGCTTTGTGGCCAGCTGGGTGGCCTCGGGCATGTTCATTGTCCCTTCAGGGCTTCAGTGCCCCCTTCCAGAAAGCCTCCTAATAAACGCATTTGCCTTGGGAGGTGCTGGGAGCCACAGTCAGACCGTGCCTGGAGAACGTGTATGCGTGTATGCAGCGCCTGGCACAGAGCTAGCCCGCAGTAAGTGCGAGCTCCTATAATGGTTTTTATTGACTATTCATCCGTTTATTCTACAAGTGTTTATTGAGTGCCTACAGTGTACCAGGCGCTCCTCTCAGTACGTGGGACCCGTCAGTCAGCAAATCAGATCCAGCCCCTGACCTGGAGAACCCTGACAATAAACAGGAAATAGCTTATTAAATAAAATCAGTTACATAGCGTGGTAGGCGGCAAGTGCTGCGGGGGGCAGGGTAGAGGGTGCAGAGTGTGGCAGAGCGGGGGCCGTGCAGGCTGGAGGTCAGGTGGCCATCTTCAGGTGGGGCATCAGCAAGGGCCACATAGTGTTATTAATCATGGCAGGTTATTGAATAAGTAACAGACCTCAGCTCTTTTTGTGAGATCCCAGGAAATACACCCCATGGGGGACTTAGGGACCCCTGGGCCTCTCCCTTAAATTAGCTGTAGCAGGCTGCCTTGGGGCTGCGACTGTCCTTGGGACACCCTCTCCACCCCCACTGTGGTTTCCTGGGCTAGGTCCCCAGACCCACTGGCCTCAGTGCACAAATTGGAGCCCGGAGTGACCAGCCCAGGGTCACTTGACGGCAGGGGCCCAGTTGACCCAATGTCCTGGGGTCAGGCTAGATTGGCAGTGATTCATTTGTGCCAGACCGTTGCTTAGCAACCAGCACTAAAGCCAGGTGACACTGCTCCTTTCTGTCAAAGGATCCTTGGCATGAGAGGGTGCCAGCCCATAGCAAACTCTTCTGAAACACAGGGAACATAACATATTTATTAGCACTAAGGTGCATAGTTGTTTCATAACTGTATTTTACAGGTGAAATCCGACTCATGGTTCTGTGCCTACACTTCCTTTAACGGCCCTGGAGTTAACAGTTACCCCTGCTAGTGTGGGCGCTGGTGACTAGTAAAGATAACAAGAATTGCTCTTGTAATAGGACGTAGCCATTTCTGATGCCTTTCCTGTCTGTTTGACTGACCCCTGTGACCACCTGGGGGCCCCCATGTTTGCGTGTTGTCCCCGTTTTAGCCTTGAGGACACTGAGCTCTAGAGACGTACACTCATTCTGATGCACTGGCTCCAGGCCCAGTGCTCCCTGTCAGCTGCAGCTTCCTCCCAGCTTTCCTGGGGGCGGGGCACTGATCTGGACCAGAGATTTAGCCCAGAGCCCCAGGTTTGACCGCTCCATACCCGGAGCTAGTCAAAGGCGGCAGGAAGTCCTGACTTTTATCATCAGTGAGGGGACAGTCCTGACAATGTCTGCTTTCTGACAGGAGCAGGGTCCACTCTAGTCAGGCTTGCGGGAGGGTACGGATGAGCAGATGAGGGATCGGCTTGCACGGGGCGGGTGCAGCAAGGCCCAGCTTTGGGGTAGGCAGGGGTGCACCAGCCAAGGTAGAAGGGGTGGGGTGTGGCAGAGTGGGGGTGATACAGGCTGGAGGTCAGGTAGCCGGCTTCAGGTGGGACATAAGCATCAGCTGAGCAGCAGGGCTGCCGGGACCAGTGTCTGCAGGTCTGGGGCAGGGATGTCTCTCAGAGTCACGCACAGGCTGATCCTTGCTGGGAAAGAAAGCAGAAATTAACCAGCTCTTCTGGAGGCCACGTTTATGACCTTCACCTCCCTCTGGGCATAGCAGCTTAGCCTCTCAGGGCATCTACTTCAATATTGTCTCATGGTTGTCCATTTTGTTTTTAGGAGAAAAGAATCATTGTTGGTTTTTTTTTATCCTCACCAGCATATATCTTTGTTGGTTTTAGGGAAGGGGGAGCCGGGCGGGAGGTGGGGAGAGGGAGAGAGAAAAAACATTAACATTGGTGTGAGAGTGAAACATCCATCAGTGTCTCCCGGGAGCGAACCTGCAAACCTGCAAACCTGCAAACCTGCCGGTATATGAGACGATGCTCCAGCCAAGCGAGCCACCTGGCCAGGGCTCATTGGTTCTTTTTAAAATGTCCATAGGAATTCAGATGTCTCCAAGACTATGCTTTTCTATCCTGCCTAAAACAGGACATCCCAAAGTTTGGATTGCTTAGAAACTTTATGAGTGTGGGATCAGGAGATAGTCCACGGCTCATGCGTGTGGTTTCGGCCGAGTGGCCTCCCGGGGTCTGACTCTTTGATCATAACCCTCCCAGAAGGGCTGCTGGGTTCATCTGTCACTCGGGCCTCTGGTTAGATTGCTTTTGAGAAGGAGGTAATTTTAAAAGTTAGGCTGTGTTGTTACCCCCTTGTGACTTTTTTGTTATGTGAAACCTTTCTGTGCTTAACTTCTAATATCTTTGTTTACCCAGATGAGGAGAAAAGGCGACCTGATATTTTCCACGCACTGAAAATGGGTAAGCACTCTAGAAAATCTTTTTCGATATCTAAGCGTTCGGTGCCACAGTCTCCCAACCTAATACTTATCGTCCTCTTCAAGGCTGCCCAGAGCACTTGAGGGAAGAACAGGCATTTTGTTGTTTCTTGGCGCTGTAGTTTCACCCAGGAAGGCTCTGGCCCCAGGGCCTGGTAGTTCTTACCGAGCTTTACAAGCAGATTGCAGCCTGCCCCCCGCCAGGCCCCTCCACCTTGCAGACAAGCCTTGTGCTTAGGTCCTGGCTCTTCCCTGCCTCTGAAATACCTGGGTGCCCACCCACCCGCTTCAGTCTCTTTGTGATGAAGGACTCCTTATCCTAAAATCTCCTCTTCTGATCCAGACCCCGCCTCCAGGAAGCCATTTTTGGTCCTGGTCCTCAGCCCTTAGCCAGGCATGAACTCTCCTCTGCACGAGCATCGTCCTTACTCTGCTTCCTTCCTCTGCACTCTTACGACACCAGCACTTCTCTCTGTTAGCGAAGATATTTCTGTAGCCGCCTCTGTCCTGTGCAGACCAAGGGGTTTGGAGTGGGGGCTGCCTCTGACTCCCCTCCGCAGCCCAGCACAGAGGCAGGCCCAGCAAATGCATGTTAAGTGAGCCCACTGGGCACACACGCCTGCTGTGCCAGTCCCACGGATCCGCAGGGCTCCTGCTTCTGCTCCTAGGAAACTTCCAGCTGGTCAAAGAGATTGCTGACGAAGACCCCAACCATGTGAACCTGGTCAATGGGGACGGGGCCACCCCCCTGATGCTGGCAGCTGTCATGGGGCAGCTGCCCCTGGTGCAGCTGCTGGTGGAAAGGCACGCCGAAGTGGACAAGCAGGACAGCGTGCACGGCTGGACAGCCCTCATGCAGGCCACCTACCATGGGTCAGTGCCAGCCCCATGCCCACAGCAGCAGGGCTGATGGGATGCTCAGACTGAGATAGGGTTCGAGATGGGGCTTTCTGATCCTGAGACCTACAGGGAAACCCTGGGGCTGTGAAGACATTGAGGCATGCAAAAAAAAAAATTAAAGAAGTACAGGCTCATTCTTTCCTGCGGGAACCCATTTATATCCAGATTTCCTGTGATCTCATCACAGTGGCCACAAGAAACCAGGCAGCAGAAACGTTTTGTGCAGAAAGATAAGTTTCTGCAGGTTGCTTTCAGTGGAACGGGGTGGTTGGTTTGTCTGGCATTTTCACGTTGATGTGCAGTGGCCTCCCTAAGCTGCCCCTGGTGGACATGAACAGGCCACTCACACCATGGGCTTCTCAGAGACGTCGGCGCTGGCACTTGTTCTGACCGTCTCCTTTGAACAAATGCCAGAGTCAACTGGTGCTCAGGAATCCCCTCTCAGCGGCATCCTATTCCCCTGCAGGAGGCCTGCTTCTGGGGGTGGGGGGTGGATGGGGGCTGAAGAGAGGCAGGGGTCTGCACACAGTCTCCCAGCTGCTAGGAGTCTGAATCCAACTTAGGGGCCCCTTGCCTGCCCTGTTTCAGGTGATCATTGCATTTTCCTGCATCCTCTGCACCTGGTTTGTTTTCTGCCTTGATGAGCCTCAGACTCGGTGCAGGGGGCCTGGTCTGGGTGGGGGCGTCAGGAGGTTTGGGGGCAGAGTCTTTGGTGTCTGTTCTGTTAATGGCAGGAGCACTTAGGCTTTGACTGCCACGACTTTCGTGTCCAACCCACCGAGGGGTAGGCGGGGGGCATGTGAGATGATTTGCCACTTTCCACGTCCTTCTTACACACTCAGAGCTGGGCTGTCGTAGTTAATGCCACGTCAGGAGCAAAGCCATGCTTTCACTTTCAGTGGGTCTAACCTGGTTCGCTCTTTCCTCCCCAGGAATAAGGAAATTGTCAAATATCTGCTAAACCAGGGTGCCGATGTCACTCTTCGAGCGAAAAATGGGTACACGGCCTTTGACCTCGTGATGCTGCTGAGTGATCCGGGTGGGTTGTTGCAGGAAAAGGGCCGTGGCCCTGCACGGCCTGGCTCTGGCTGGGAATCGGATGAGCACGTGGGTTTGGAGCACTTGCTTACGGGGGGAGGCCAGTCTCCAGCCCCAGGAGCTCGCTCACCACATGGCCCTGGGCAAGTCGCTCCCCTGCCTGAGAGGGCTGGGCTGGGGCCAGGTAGTCCCCGAGGCCTCCCTCTGGGAGTCCAAGGAGGGAAGGCCTACAAGGCGCGTGCCTGCTTTAGCAGTCCACACAAATCCTAGGATGGTCTCTGTGCTTCGTAGGCAGACGTCCTGAGTGACTTGGAAGGAAATGAAAGGGCCCTGTGGTGCACAGAATCAGAGATGGAGCAGTGTGTAGCTGGAGGCGCCGTGCTGGAGGCGTTACCATTACTGGCCCTGCAGCTCCTGGTCTCCAACTGGCTCCAACTTGCCCCACCCCCCAAAGTGTGACAGGCCCTCCTCTGTGTCTTGGGGCTTCCAATTAGCCAGCTCAAGGGGAGGACCTCTCTGTTTATGATCCAGGAGTTCTAGCCCAGAGAGAGAGAGGCTGAGAGGCTCTCTGAACCCGTAGGCTTTGAACCCTGCACCAGATCCCAACTTGCTGGGCTGGCCGTGGGGGGAGGACTTTGACCTCCACAGTCCCAAGTGCGGTTACTCCTGCTACTGTCTTAGCTACAGGGGTAGCAGGCAGAGTATCCTCCCGCATCGCCAGTACTGCCACCCTTTCCACCCCTCCCCATACACCATACAGGTGCTTGCTTCCATTTCCTCCCCCTGGAGTGTGAGGGAAGCAGAGCTTCACATCATCTCGTGGAGCAGAAGTGATGAAGACCGGGAAATGACTGAGCTGGCTGGAGAGGCAGGGCCTGCTGCCCAAGTCCAGTCATTCAGAACCAATCTCTGCCACCCCAGGCTGGGAGGTGCCATTCAGGACCTGCAGTCACGCAGCCAGAGAGGGACAGAGGCTGAATTTGAACCTCTGCCATCTGGCTGCAGAGTCTGCACTTGTTAAACACGGTACACGCTGGCCCTCGCGTGGGAAGAGAGCTGTTTCTACTTTCTGGTTAGTAGAAACCAGTGCTGCTGGCCTTTTTGCCACCTTCTGGCAGCCTGAGCCTGGGAGAGCACACGAATTCTGAGGCTGATGGGACTCGGCTTGGGGCCACTCCCTGTAGCCCAACAGACATCTTTGCAGGTAAAACGCTACCTTTTATGCCCATAGACACGGAACTTGTTCGACTGCTGGCATCTGTCTGCATGCAGGTGAATAAAGACAAAGGCCGGCAGAGCCACCCGCCACCCCCGCCCTGCTCGAAGGTTCGACAGCCCTGGAGTGTCCCAGTGCTGCCCGATGACAAAGGCGGGCTTAAGGTTAGCCTTTTCCTGTCTCACAGCGCTTCAGAGAGCCAGGTCCACGGGCTGCAGGATGCCTGCCACTTCTGTTAACCCAGGGCTGGTGTAGGTCAGGGTGAGGGGGCGTGGGCAGGCCGGGGTGGGAAGTGAGATGAGGGTGAGCAGCAGGGAATGGCAGGGCCTGGGGAAAAGTGGAGTGATTGTAACCACTTAGTGGCATCCATGGCTGGTTTGTAAGAATGTGGGTCCACGTTACCAGGTCTTCCCTTTTTTTTTAGAAGAAGAAACTAGAAATTCTTATTTTGATGTGGAAACTCAATTTATAAATGTAGGAAATATTTAAAATTTCTGCACAATGTAGTACCGAGCTGGACAAACTGAACACCTCTGCTCCCACCCAGGCCATTTGTCGGCAGCTTCTGCTTCAGTGTGTACAGTAGTTGCTGATTGTGCTGTTCCGGGATCACGCTGCGGTCCTCAGGCCCCCATCCGCTTCTTCCTGGGAATGCCAAAACATGCTCCAGTTGCTTGTTTCTAACTGCAAGCCTAGTATTTTTCTCTGAATTTCTCACCATCCCCATCTGCTCTACTTATGTAAAATTGAAAGTCCATTCCCCCATCCCGTCTGAGGTGCTAGCACCTCTGCAGGTCTGCGGATTCGGCGTCCCTTTCATGTCGGTGGCTCCCTTGAGGCCCCACATTCTTCTGCACAGTGCTGCTCGCAGAGGTCCCTCTGTCCCTGTCCTCACTGCCACCTCCCTCCATAGGTCAGGCCCTCACAACCTTCCTTTGGACTATGCCAGTGACCTCTGACCTGTCCCGGGGTTATAAGCACACCCTGAGAGGTGGCAACTGGCCTCTCTCTAGGTGGGGAGGCATCAGCTACCAGAGCAGGTGCCAGGCCTTGTAAGACACCCTGATGCCGCCGACACTGTCACTGGGCTGGGAGAGAAGCCATGCAGTGACAAGTGTTAAGGTGTTTGGGGTTGGCCCTGTCTGGGTCTCGATGTCTCAGTCTGTGCTGTAAGGAGACTGATTAGGTGAAGGGTGGCAGTTAGGGTTCATAGCCACCTGCACCCTATTGGAAACGCTCCTAAGGCCAGGGTCAGGGAGGACTTAGAGAACCGGGGCTAATTGGGGAAGGGTGCAGTGTGGCTGATGGGGATGCCTGCCGTGGCCCCCACGAGGGGTGGGGAAGCGAGTGTGAAGTACAGTTCCCTCCCCGGGCAGGGCGTTCCCGGACCGTGACCTCTGCTCTGCATTCCCTCGGCAGTCCTGGTGGAGCCGGATGTCCAACCGGTTTCGGAAGCTCAAACTGATGCAGACTCTGCCCCGTGGGCTGTCCAGCAACCAGCCATTGCCGTTCTGTGATGAGCCAGAACCCATGCTGGATTCCACCATGCGGGCAGTCCCCCAGGACAAGCTAAGCCACTCTGGGCTCCCTGACGTGGCCCCCGCAGTGAAAGACAGTGGTAAGAAAAGGCTGCAGATGTGGAATGTCCAGTGGTCAGACCCAAAGCCTCTGCCCTCTGTCCGCCCTCCTAGGCTGATGTCAGAGGTGAGATGGTGTTGGGATGTGACAGTGGAGCAGAGTGGCTGCTCTGGGGAAGAAGAGACTTGGGCAGGGACACAGATGCTGTCAGGCTGGGAGGACGGGGAAGCTAGTGGCAAGAGTCCCAAGTTTCTGTCCTGCACACACACGCTGCTGAGGGACTGGAAGCCATTGATAGGTGATTTTTCCCATCAATGTGATGGGTTTCTGGCACTGAAAGTGTTTTGAAATAGAACAAATTACCTGTGGGGGGAGGAAGGGTAGTGAGCTCCCTGGCACTGGAGGTATTCAAGAGATTGGGTGACTTTACTGGGAGCTGAAGGAGACTGCCCCACTGAGAGGGAAGTCGGTTAGACCATATCCCTTCTAACAGACCCCCCCATGCCCAGACCCGCTCCTTCGGCACCATTGCCGAGACAGACTGTTGAGCTGGGTGCCCCGCTGTCTGACCCGGCATGGTCTCGGTTTATGGAAAAGCTGAAAACACACTCTGAGATACATTTGTAGTACTTTCCTTCTGTTCAAATATTGAACATCAATTATTATTAAATATTTAATCTCCCAGGAGAGTTGGTTTACCAGGATGCAGGCCAGCCTGGTCACTCAGCCTCAAGCCGTGCACTCGTGAGGTGGGGGGGGGGTCATTTCAGGAAAATTCTGTTTGTCCCTCAGGTCCTGGGAGCACACGAGGAGACAAGGAAGACGCGTTATTGACAACCATGGTGAGTGCAGGGCTTTTCTGAAAGTACTTTAGGTCTCTACCCATCATTAGTTTACTGATGTACAAGGAGCGATATGGGCATTTGTCCTTTTTTGTGGTTTCACAGATGGGGCTGCCATGAAAGTGTGTAACAATGGGGCCCTGACTGGTGCGGCTCAGTGGGTGGGGCATCGGCCCACAAAGTGAAAGGTTGACGGTTCGATTCCCAGTCAGGGCACAGGCCTGGGTTGCAAGTTTGGCCCCCATTGGGGTGCGTACAAGAAGCAACCAGTTGATATTCTTTTTCACATCAGTGTTTCTCTCCCTCTCTTTCTCCTTCCCTTCTCTGCTCTCTAAAAATAAATAAATAAAATCTTGTAAACAGTGTGTAGCAGGGGGTACAGCTGTGGCATGGAGGGGCCGGAAGAGGTGCCAGCCTGGAGCGTGGGCGAGGCTGTGCCAGTACTTGGTGCCCTGGCGAAGCCCTGGTCACAGTCTCAGGGAGGCAGCCCTTAGGACAGGGCACTGAAGGGGTAGCAGTTGATGGGTGACGTTGGACATTTGGTTATGGAGAGCCAGGGAGAGAGGCCTCAGTTTCCTCGCCTAGGCGTGAATCAGGATAAGTTCGGCTGTAATAAAAAGTGTGCAGACAGCAGTGGCATAAGTAAGGCAGCAGTTCACTTCTCTTAAGTGAGTGAAGTTCAGGGCCGGTACATTGCTCCATGGATTCGGGGACCCGGGTTCCTTCCACCTGCTGGTCTTCTAGGCATGGCTTCTATTACCAAGGTCACCTCCGGGTCCAGGGTGGCTTCCAGACCCCTGGGCGTGACTGCCTCCTTCCAGCCAGCAGGAAAGAGGAGGTGGCCACAGGTACATGCCAGATGTCTTTCAAGAATTTTCCTGGAAACACACATTTTTGTTTGCATCACATTGGCCAGAATTGAGTCATGTGGCCTCATCACACTGCACAGGAAGTTGGCAAACGAAGTCTTTGCTCCAGGCGGTTGGGTGCCCAATTAAGTGGCAGGGGTGTCTGCTGAGGAGGATGTGGGGGATGGATACCAGGGGACAGCAAGCAGTCTCTGGCCTAGGGATGCTGTGTGCATGGTGGTGGTTTTTAAATGCAGTCAGAAGATCTTAGCATAGTGCCTGGCTCACAGTGAGCTCATTACCTGCCTCGGGCCTCGTCTGTGTTCCCTCACCTTCTGGGCTTCAGGTGCCTCTGCTCTGAAAGGAGAGCCTCCTGGTTGGGGTGGGACTCCAGTCCACCTCGTTCTGAGACCCTGGGCTGGAGGCTGGCCAGGAGAGGGCAGTATTGGAAAGGAGAAGGCAGCGGACACGCCCCCTCAGAAGGCTGAGCAGGCCCAGGACCCGCCCAGCAGATCGCCCAGCAGATGGGTCTGCTCCTGCCCGCCCTGCACAGTATATTAGTGTCTCTACACGGTGACCGTGGGAGCTTGTACCGCCTGATACTTGATAATATTGAATAGCAATAAGAAGGGTCAGTAAGATGACAGAATGGCTGTTATTGAAATTTTGGAAGGTGCAGTAAAATATAAAGGAGAAAATTAGAATGGCTCTTGATTACACGTGCACTCCTGATAGACATTTTGTGGCGTATATGGTGCAAGCATTTTCCCTGTCGTTTTTAGCATCCGTGACTGACACAAGGCTCTGTTGGATAATAGCCGGCAGTTAACTCAGTACTTACTAAGCACCGGCCCCTGCCACACTTTACACACATCCACTCACTCAGCCTCTGCGAGAGTCGTGCAGAGTGGGTACTGCGCCATCCCTGTTGTGCCGAGCCTGACTTGTTAGTGGTGTTTCACGACTGTCTTCTGTGCGTCACTGAACACTCTCTGACCCCGGCCCATCTAGCGGCTGTGACACAGCATCCCGTCATGGAAATGTGCCTGAGTGGCAGTGAGTGACATCTCCGGACTCGGGGGGTTCTAGTTTTGTTTTGTTTTTTTTAAGGCTCCGATGAATGTGCTTATGCCTCAGTTTCCCCCTCCTCTCCCCCCCCCGCCTGATTTTTCCCTCAGGATAAATATCTAGGCATTCCTGGGTCAAAGCGCAGGAAGGTCACTGTCCTCCAGAAAGTGTGCAACAGTTCAGAAACTCACCTGAAGGAGTGAAAATGCCCATCATTGGTGGGTTTGAGCTCCAAGTGCCCTTCGTCATCTTCCAGTACAAGCCCCCACTGCTGGATGCAATGGCTGAGGTCCAGAGGGAGCAGCATGTGTTCACAGACTCTCAGAAAAGCTCAGAGCAGCCGTGGTGGGATCCCAGGACGCTTGAGCTTTCTGCCTCGGAGCCTGCTGTCCTGCCTCCTCACACCCTGTAGAGGGCAGCAGTGTGCCGGCTCGCCCCTGGGCAGATGGAAGCTGGCCAGGGAGCCCTGCTGAGTGGGCGTTTGCAGCCATCGTTGCGGAGATGCCCAGCTCCGAGGCAGGTTTAGCTGTGGGATGCCCTTCCCTGCAAAGTACCATCTGGCGCTTAGTTCAGTGTCTTTTCTTAATTAAAGTTAGTGTGGACCGTGTGAATGCTTTTCCTGGACAGTCCACCAGTCCTCATCATGTGATTTTATACTGACCCCAGATCACATTTTCAAAGTTTAAAAACTCAATGACAGTTAAAAATGCCAGCAGTGGGAGGTGTGGCTGTTGGGTAGGATGGGTGTGGGGGATGGAGAAGGGAGTGTTGGCCGGGCTCACGGAGAGCTGGCCTGAGCCTCGCCATCCCTCATCCCCTGCCCCTTCCACAGAGACACCCAGCCGTGGTCACAGAAGTACCCTTGCAGTTCTGCACATGTGTTCTGCTTCTCTCCTGGCCTTTCCACATTCTGTTCCCTCCACCTGCAGTACCTTTTCCCCCATCCTCACTGGGCCAGCGTGCTTTGGCTCACAGGCTCAGCTCAGGTGCCCCTCCCCTCAGATGCCCTCTTCACCTGCAGTAAGGAGAGGCTGCCCTGTGCTCTCCCAGCTCCCCTGCCCCCCTTGCTGCACCCTCGACATCACTTGACTTTACCTTGGCTCTCTATCCCTCGGCCCTGTTCTGATCTTGCTGCCGTGGATGGGTCCAGGGAAAGCCAGCAGCTGGTGCAGAGCAGATGTGGGTATTGCTTACTTGCTGGGAGGAGAGCTGAGGGCACCATGTGGGTTTCTAGCTTGGGGAAGGGGTGGAGAGTGCCATTCTCAGAGAAGCAAGAAAACCTGGAGTCTTCCTCTCAGAGCTGGGGCCTCTCTAAGGCCTTTGACTAACCCATGGCCTGCCTTTTGCAGCTTCGAAACGGAGCCCCCTTCACCAGACTCCCGAGTGACAAGCTGAAGGCCGTCATCCCCCCTTTCCTACCCCCTTCCAGCTTCGAGCTGTGGAGCTCTGACCGGTCCCGGACGTGTCACAGTGGGAAGGCAGACCCCATGAAGACTGCGCTGCCCCAGAGAGCCAGCAGGAGCCACCCCGTGGGTAGCGGGGGCACAGACACCGTAAGTCACCTGGCTGACACTCATATGCATCATTCACTGCTTCCTGAAATCACGACGTGTTGTAGCCAGAAGGTCCTCAGATCAATTGGTCCAGAGGGGTTAAAGCTTTTTTATTTTTGTTGCATGAGTGATACCTTTCGTCTAATGAAATCCAATAAGGAACTTAATCTGTAAATAGATTACAGTGTCAGCATGAAGGGAATGAGGGCAGGGGTGCTCTCTTCTCTATCCTCTCTCTGGAACCCTGGAGCTCCGAGGAACAGTTCGAAGTCCGGCACTAATTCAGCCTTCCCTTTAGTAGATTAGGACCCAGGGCTCCAAGAGGGGGAGTAATTTGCTGAAGATCCCCCAGGTGGGGCAGGCCTGAGACCAAAAATCAGATTTTTGGTTTTTAAGCAAGTTCTACACTACATGATTGTTCAGGTCCACGGCCAAGAGCAAATGGGGGGAGTCAACTAGGTACGTTACTGGTGTTTTCCTGAACCCAGAAGGCATGTTACTTCTGTCCTTTGGACCACCGTGGGTTTTGTCTTTGTGGCCCTTGGTGTCTCTGCAACATACTGAGGCATCCTTGAGGCAGGAACTCTCTCTACGTGTGTGGACTGCCTGCGCCCTGGATGCCGTAAATGGGCAAACCCAAGACGGGGAATTCGGATGGGGCCTGCCGCTGTGCTTCAGTGATTAGAGAAGCTCAGCACCTCCGAATCAGATGCAGTGGGGCTGGCCCCTGCACTTGCTGCTGCCTCCCTGGGCCATCGCAGTATGGAATCTCTACAGGGAGGTCAAGATCCCGGCCCCTGGAGGTGCTCTGCAGGCTGGTTTGCCTTCAGTCAGCTGTGTGGGAGGAGTTGAGTGATCCTGGAAGCTGGGTGACCCATGGGAACTGACATCACGGGGGCTCAGCCTGAGCTAATGGCCAGGTTGTCAGCAGATGGAAGGGAATTCCCATCCCTTAGGCAGCTCTGAGCAGGCTAGGCTGAGCACTGGTCAGCCAGGACATGCAGGGCGGATGCGGGCGTTGGCTGCGGTGGGCCCACTGGACTCCAGGTCCCTTCCCAAAAACCGTCACCATGACACCCGCCTTATTCTTGCAGACTCCTGTCAGGCCGGTTAAATTTCCATCTCTCTCCAGAAGTCCAGTCTCTCCGGCCAATTCGGGAAACTTCAACCACTCGCCTCATTCCTCAGGTGGCTCCAGTGGGGTAGGGGGCGTGAGCAGGCACGGCGGGGAGCTGCACAGCCGCTCAGGTGGGTGTCTGGGCACGGCCACTTAGGGGAGTGGGAAGACCTGGCATCGAGGGTGTGAACCGGCCCTGTGCCCGCTGTGCAGTTAGTCTCAGAAACAACTGCACATACCTTGTCTTCTGGATGTGATTTTCAGTGAATTCTCAATTCTGAGTTTATTCTCTGCCTTTTGGGGGGCAGGAGTAGAAACAGAGGAGATAAAGTCTATAATGCTTTATTTTCTTGGAAAAATTTACAAGAAATTAGGAGAAATGCATGGTGTTTTCATGGTGTTTAAAATCCTTGAAGGTAAAATCCTCAGCCTCTCATCCCGCGTTTTCACTGATCAGGTGAGGAAACTGAAGCTCAGGGTGGGCAAGAGACTGGCCTAGGGACATAGAGCAAGCGGTGGTAATTAGGGCCCAAACCAGTTATTCTGACCTACTCACAGTTGTCTGTCCTCTGCAAGGACAGCCAGGACTAACGGAGCCCGCTTTGCAGAAGAGAACCCCTACGCCACTGCACACGGAGTGCCTGTGTATCATAGAAAAGCTTTAAGACCAGATGAACCAAAAGATGGTAACAATAGCAATGGGGTACAATATCACTCTCTAGGGATCACGATTAACCCTTGGGTATATGTCTTTGCAAAGTTCTTTTATGCATATTGTATTATTGTAGCGGAATAAGTTATAGAACCAGTATGTGCCAGGCCCAGTAGCAAACCCATCACATGGATTGTCTCCTTCAGGCCCCAACAGCCTGCAAGGGCGTATTCTCCATTTTACAGATGAGGGCACCGGGGCTCAGGAAAGTTAAATAACTCGGTCAAGGCCACACAGCAGTGAAGTAGCAGAGCCAGGACCCAGTCAGCAAGCCGACTTCTGAGTACCGGCTGCTCTGCAGCCGTTTTCCTCTTTGCGCACATCACCGTGTTGGTACCGCCTTTTCACGCCCGTACCCCTGTGTCTGCGGCACCTTTTTAATAACCGAAGAGCAGCCCGTTCGTGGGGGGAACCACACGTCGATGTAACTGGCGCCCTCTTCCTGAACACTGAGGCTTCCCTAGATTGCTGCTCTCATAGATGACCACACTGAGGAAAGGCTTCATACTCCGCATCTGCATATTCAGTCCGTGATTTGCTTAACATAAGTTCCCTCAAATCTGGGTGGTGAGGTCAGCGGGTTTGCCTGTTTTTAAGGCTTTTGATACATTTTGCCTTCTAGAGTGGCTCTGTTTATCCCTGTGAAATATTCACTGCAGTGCCTGGCACCTGGTGAATGCCCTGGAAGTGTTAGTCACCTTTGTTCTCGCCCTTTTCTTTCATAATAATTCAAGATTGCCAGTGGATTTGGGGAGACGGGGAGAGGGAACGTGCAGATCAGGGCCCAGGCAGGGAGCCTGCATCCTGAGTGTTGCGGAATGAGGGTTATTGACTTACGTGCCTGCCCTGCGGGAGGAGATGGGGGTGTGACAGTCGATGGGGGGAGACGGAGGTCAAGGGAGGAGCCCTGGTGTGGCGGACGGTGGAAGGCACTGCGTAGGGGCCGAGGCAGGAATTCAGGACAGGGCAGTGGGCATCTGCGCCAGCTGGAGACTGGCCGAGCTGGCCGTGGTGCCGGGAAAAGTGAGGACAACCTGACCTTGCCGCCACTGCATCTTTCACCATCTAGTACCATGATGCCTTCGTCCCACGATGGCCACTGCGTCCTGGCCGCCTTCCGGTTCTGGTACAGAGTCCTCTTGTGGTCTGCTCTGACCCTCAATCCAATGGGGAGGGGTCGTGGGCAGAGCGGCTGTGGAGCATTCGAGTCAGCACCAGAAGCCCGTCGTCACACCCGTGCTGCAGTCCCCTGGGCCTGTGGCTGGCATTCCCGTTCCTCTCCCCCCAGGTGGCAGCATAGACAGTGTCCTGTCCCAGATCGCCGCCCAGAGGAAGAAAGCAGCTGGACTCTCTGAGCAGAAGCCCGGCCGTCAGCCAAGTCCTGTTGGGCCAGCACCTGGGTCCAGCCCTTCCGAGCATCCAGTCTCCCCCGCAGGTGGTGGTGGTGCCGGCGGCAAGGTGCTGGTTCTGTGTCTGTCTCCTCCTGTCCCACTCACAGCTTCCGTCCTGACAGCGGGGCACGGGTCATGGAACAGGCCCCTTTCAGCAGCTGCTCCTGGGTTTCCTGAGAAGGGCTGGGTGGTGCGGGCAGTCGCTGATATCACATGGTCCCTGGCATTCATGGTCACTTCCTGCCTGGTCTCGGGGCATCAGCAGGTGCCTCTTCCAGCCTAACATTGCACACATTTGTTTATTGATTAGAGCGAAACAGTTTAGGGTGTGGGTTCAGGGGCAGACTGCCGGGGTTCAACACTCAGCTGCACGCTTTAGCATTTAGGAGGTGTCCCTGGCCTCTGGGGAGCCCGTGTAAGTGCCAGCTGTGTTGACATTACTAGCACTAACCTTGTTCCTTCATTGCACACATCTTTGGAGCTTCTGTTCTGGGTCTGGCCCTGCCAGCAGTGAGGGTCCTGCAGTGAATTGGGGTTTCGTGACTACTGCGTCCCTTGGCACAGACAGTCTCGCCTCAGGGTGGCAGGAGCTGTCATGGAGAAGGGAGGACGCCCTGCCATGCATGCTTCGGGGCACCAGTGACGTCTAAATGGGGACCTGAAGGATGAGGAGCCAGATGGAAGGAGCTGGGTGTGAGGCTCTTCCAGGGTGAAGGGACAGCCCTCGAGAGGCAGGGCGTGGCAGAGAGGGGGAGCGGAAGGAGGGATCGGCGGGCAGGACAGAGCCAGGGCCCCAGCTCCCTGCTGTGACTCCATTCCTCCAGTAAGGCAGCCCCAGAGCTGTCACCACACTGTTGGTGCCTGTGGAGTTTGTAAGGGATGGGAAACCCGAGATGCTTCCCTGGAATGGGAAGTCTTTTCGTGTCTTCACAATGCCCTTCCACCTCCTGGGCTGACTGATGGAGGAGCCGGCAGAGTGTGGGTGTGGGCCCCTCCCCAGGTGGCCCTCCGTGTGGCGCAGTGGCGCAGCGAAGCCCATTGCCTTTCTGAGAGGACCCCAAGCCCAGGCGCATCCCCATTCTTTATCATATCTCCTAGGTCTTAAGCTCTTTTCCTAAGAACAGTTAGACCACCTGAGAGCCTCACCCTTGGATTTTTGCCCAGGAGTGCCTCCAGGGGTTGATGTGTTAATGGTGAATGAGAAATAGTCTTTATTTTCTGCCCAACCACCTTTGGTTACCAACTTTTTGTTGTTCAAAGTCCCTTTTGCAACTGGACCTATGTAATTAGGTTCCTTTTACAATACAGCTCCAGAGAAAGTATCTCTCTCCATGTGCATTAGCATATTTTCCACTATATTGCAAATTACTTGTGTAAACGATCTGGATCTGGAGTTCCTTTTAAAATTTGGCTCTAGACAAAGTGTCTCTACTGACCCTGGGATGCATTTTTTTCCCTCAAATAGTAGGATTTATGTAATTATTGTATTTTTCTTTTTGCCTTCCCTGCTGAGAAACTCAGAGCTACTCGTTAAAGTAAATTTGCCAGTCTTTGATATAGTGGTCCTCTGTTGCCTAAAATTTTCTGTTTCTATTTTGACGATCTTATTAGGTGTGTTAGAGATTATTAGCTTCCTTTAATTGGTGTTGGACATAGGTAGACATCTAAGATGTAAGTTATATTCATTATTATCTCACTTGAATGCATCTGTCACATTTAATCTACAAAGAGAATATTCTGATGAAAGGAAATTGTGTCAAAAGATGCATTTAGGAAACAATAACCTGAGGAAACGATCCGGTTCAGTGATGGACTAACGTTCTTAACATGATGACGTGCTGTAACCTTCCGGTTTCTGGGCCCCACCCATGACGACTGAATGAAGCTCTCAAGGCAGGGTCTGGGGAACCCGCCTTCCCCCCGGAGTGCTGCAGCTGGCCCAGCTCAGGGCTCCGGAAACCACTGCCCTCCAGCAGAGGACACCGGGAGTGGGCTTTCTGACAGGGGCTCCAGAAGACGGAGACACGGAGTGCTTTCCAAAGACTCCCTTAGGAAGATCTAGAAATTAGTATTCAAAATATGAGCCACCCGAATCTGGTTTTTGTGCTTTGCTTAAAACAAGCTGTACTGTGATAGTGGCATGTTCACAAGGTGTGACTTCCCGCGTGTTTGTGAATCAGTGTGAAGCAAACCTCGGGAGACACAGAATGGCATGGGTGGTCAGAGCATTTTGCTGCACTTCCCAGACCCCTGAAAGCCTACAGGAGCCCATCAGTTTTTCGTTCCCACCCCCAAAGCTCGGTGGTTGAAAACAAAAAGCATTTCTTCAGCTTATGAATCTGTGGGCAGGCCATGTAGTCTGGACTTAACTAGGCAGTTCCTCTGGTCTGGGGGGATCACTTGCATGTCTGGCTCTTGGCTGTAGTGACCAGGATAACAAGGCCATGTGTATCCATAAGCTTGGATGTGTTGTCATGGCAATGACTGAAGCCACGTGTTACAAAAACCGTCAAGTTGCTTAAGCAAATAAACACACCCAGTGTCAGAGAACATAAAGGTATGTAGCAAAGGGTGTGAGTCCAGGGAGGAGTGGAGGTGATGTCGTTAATGCAGTCAGTCTCCTACACTGAGGACCTAGAGAATTGTCCATATATTTCAGAGCACCCCGATCTTATATCCACCTGCCCCTTCCCAGTAATGCTGCCCACAGGTTCGGAGTACCACTTTCCTTTGCTTTTGGCTGGGGGAGATCTGTTGTATAAGAATATACTAATTTGCTTAATCTGAACTTTTACTATTGAATGTCTCTATAGGAAAAAGGAGGGAAAAAATTGTTAACAATATAGGCAGTTAATTGATGCAGTCTTTTAAAACCTAAGAAAGGGACTTCTTTTTCCACTCTGATTTAGTTTGTTAGATGGAGGGGATTAGCAGGAAAGTTGTGTGCGTTTCCAGGCATAAACTTAGTTTCTACTATCATACCTTTTTTCTTTTTCTTTTTTAAGAGAGAGAAATAGGGGAAGGGAGGGAGCAAAAAAGAGGGAGAAACATTCGTGTGCGAGAGAAACATCAGTTGGTTGCCTCCTACACTTGCCCCCACCCAGGGACGGGGCCCACAACCCAGGCACGTGCCCTGACCAGGCATCAAACTCTCGACCTTTCACTTTGTAGACAGTACCCAACCAACTGAGCCAAACACGTCAGGACCTATCATACTCTTAAGATGTTCAGTTTTTAGCAAGAATTACAAGACATATGAAAAGGCAAGAAAAACTGCACTCCCAAGAAACAGAGCAATCATCAGACGACTCTCACTTAGCTATGATTCAGGTGTTGGAATTATCTAACAGGAAGTTTAAAAAACTACCATTAATGTGTTAAAGGTTCTTATGGAAATTTGAACCATATGCAAATTATACGAGTAACTATTTCGGCAGAGGGATGGAAACTGCAAGAAAGAATCCAGTGGAAATGCCAGAAGTCAGTGAAATTAGCAGAGGTGAGGAAAGCCTTTGATGGGCTCCTAGTAGCCTTCGCCAAGTCAAATAAAGAGTCAGTGAAATTGAGGACAGGGCAATAGAAATTACCCGGATTGAAACACAAAGGGAAGTGAAAGCAAAATCAAGAACCGCAACAGCACAGAGCATCCAGAAGTGGTGGGATCACATCAAACGCTCTCACATACGGATGACTGGAGTCCCTGAAGGAAAAGAGGGAGAGAGAGGGATGGTGGGGCAGAAGGAGTATTTTTAAATAGTGGCTGAGAATTTCTCCAAATCGATGATAGATGCCAAACCACAGATCTAGGAAGTTCAGAAAACACTCAATAGGACAAATGCCAAAATGAATATATCTACTCATGTCGTGTAAACTACAAAATAAACAACTCTCAAAACTCCGCAATAAGAAATTTACAACAAATTTTAAGAATGGGCCAAGTATCCTGAATACTTCATCAAAGATGTGCAAATGGCAATAAACATATGAAAGAATGTTGAACATCACTAGGTATTAGGGAAATGCAAATTAAAATCACAGGGAGGCAGAACTATACGCCTATTAGAATGGCTAAAATTGAACAAAAAATTAAAGATGCAAGTGTTGGCGAGAATGTGGAGCTACGGAAATACTCATTCATTGCTGGTAGGAGTGCAAAATGGTACAGCCAACTTGGAAAAGTTTGGCAGTTTCTTATAAAACTAAATATACACTTAGCATGTGAGCTGGCCATCTCACTCCTAGGCATTTACCCAAGTGAATTTTTTAAAAAGTTCTGTTTGTGTAAAAATCTGCTGGTGAATGTTTATAGGAGTTTTTTCATAACCACCCCAAACGGGAAACATCTCATCGTCAGATGCATGGGTAAAGTAACTGGTACAACCATGCACGGACTACTCAGCAATGGGAAGGAACACTGATAGCGTGCAGTGACTTGAATGAGTTTTAAAAGGCATTGTATTGATCTAGACCCACAAGTCTACATATTCACATGTACTGTTCACATGACATTCTGGAAAAGACAAAACTGTAGGGGTGGAAAAATAGATCAGTTATTTTTGTGGGTTGTGGGGGGTAGAACTGACTAATCAGGGAGAGCACAGGGAATTTGGGGGTGACGGACTGTTGGGTGTGGTACTCTGTTGGGTACACAACTCTGTGCCCTTGTAAAAACCCGTAGAATTCCACACAAGAGTCGTTTCTACCATATGCAAATTCTTTTACAAAATAACCAGGAACCGAAGATGAAATTCAGACTGTGACAGAAGATCCAACTGTGTTCCGAGTGGATGACATAACCGCACTGTAGGAAGTGGGGAGACAGCATATGTCCCGTGGATGTGGTAGGCTGAGGTAAAGCCCCATGTGTAAGCACTGTAGTCTGAGTGTAAAGTTTTTTCTTACGGGGAGGTAGCTTAAATTCCAAAATCACTTTATGTATATATGCTTTTTGCATATCTATGTACTTCCCATGAATATAAGGTTGAACAAAGTAAATATAATAAGCCCAGGCTTTAACTGTCAGAGATTGGATTAAAAGGGAAATGCTAGAGCAAACCCTGTGGATATTGCACTCAGTGTTGAACCATTACGAACACATGCTTATACATGTAAACACACATACATGTGTGCACACAGGTTGGTGAAGATGTGGCTGTATGTGTATGTGCAGGCCAGTGTGCCTCATGTACTTCCTTGTTCTGTCTACTGACAGGACCTAGAAGCAGTGACAGCCCAGTAGCAACGAGCAGTCTAGTTCCCAGACTTTGTTTTCTAAATCCCATTCTCCAACCAAAAGGACCAGGGCCTTGGAGGAGTGGTCTATTCCAGTAGTGGGTCAGTGAAAATACAGGATGAGCCTGAAGCATTTTGTGGTGTTGGAAAGTAAGGAAATGTTTTTAAAAAGAGAGAAAGAAAAAAAGATGGGCATGTTTAAAGGACACAGGAGTCAGCCTGAAAGGTCTCGGTGGCCATAGCTGGAATAAGTCAAGCAACTATAAATAATGATAGTATTGGATTATAGCCCAAGATCAAAATAAATATCCAGGAGCCCACACTGATATGAATAAGTAGCTGAATAAATGAGGCAGAAAGAACCACTCTTCTTACAGAAAAATGCCAAATAGTAAATGTGGGACAAATAAGGGAAATAGCAAATCGCCATTGGAACATGTCATTAGTAATTGCTCCATACAACAGCCACCAGAAAAAATTAGTGGGTTAAACTTTAAGGAAAAACAAGCTATGTAGCTCAGAATATCTTCCCCCAAACATTTCTTTATTATAAAGGGAAAAACAGTAACTTCACCCGACAGACACCACCTTGCCTAGGTGACGAGGGCTAACCATCGGTGATAAGAGACTGACACTTTGTGCCTCCTGGGATGATGGGCAGAAAACCATGTCTCACCTCTGTGGTCCTTGACCCCAAGACCCATAAGCAAATCCAATTATGAGAAAACATAAGAGAAACCCAGTTTGAGGGACAATCTACAAACACCTGACCAGGACTCTTCAAAACAAAAACGTAAAGGGCATGAAGAACAAGGCAGAACCGTGGAGCCGGCACAGATTGGAGGAGAGTCGGACACGATGAGTAGGTGACCCTTGTGGAACCTGGACTGGATCCTGTACCAGAATCAGGGCATCAGTGGAACAAGCAGCCAGTGCTGAGTCCAATCTGCAGTTTAGTTAACAGGGTGTCCCAATGCTAATTTCTTGGTTTTGGTAATTGTACCCTGGTTCTGTAAGACGCTAACATCAGGGGAAGCTGGCTGAGGGATACATCAGCAGCACTCTCTGTTCTTTTTCATTCTTCCATAAATCTAAGAGTATTTCCAAATATAAAAAAAACTAAATGACACATGCATGTGCACACACACACACAAACCAAGGGGAGATGTGTGCGTCGGTGAGAGGTTGGAAGCAGCTGGTTTGGGTAAAGGGACGTCAAGAGCAGAAAGGGACATGGTGTGTAATAAGCCACACTCCCATCTCCAAGCCGGGTTAACAGAGGTAAGGGGACTTGGCCAAGTACACAGTGCCAGCAGGGGCAGGACTAGTCCCCACATTCCCTGACTTCATGGGCTGTTTTTCCCATCCCACCCCCTGCTCAGCTCCAGGAGAGGATTAGCCTGTAACTGTTCCGATAAAGCTGTTTCTGCTTTGCACATGTGTGTTTTTAAAACAGATTTCATACCTCTGGATAGATGTCCTGTTGAGGGTTCCCTGTTGTGGGTCTGCTTTAATCACTTCTACCTCCCAGGCGCTAGCTGTGTATTTGTCTTATTTTGTGCAGAAGCTGGAGACAAGCAAAAGGCCTCCCTCTGGAACTTCCACTACCTCCAAAAGCACCTCCCCCACCCTCACGCCCTCCCCTTCACCCAAAGGCCATGCAGCGGAGTCCTCAGTGTCCTCCTCCTCCTCCCACCGGCAGTCCAAGAGCAGTGGGGGCTCCAGCAGCGGCACCATCACTGATGAGGGTGAGTCCCCTGAGCTCTTGAAACCCCACCCTTTCCTCCCCCCGATGCTACCTTGTGTTGTCGTCTTCACTGTGATTAAGATATGGTGAGCTATCGGATGTAGGTCAGTTTTGTTTATATCCACAAACACACACCTGTGGAAGTGTTTCCTCAACGGCAGTTAGGCACCTCCTCCTAAACCCTGTATAAATCAGGATTCTTTCAGTTGCAAGTGATGGAATCTCCACTCAAACTGGCTTATTTTTTCAAATATATTTTATTGACTATGCTATTACAGTTGTCCCATTTTTTTCCTCCCCTTCATTCCCCTCCACCCTGTACCTCCCTTCCCACCAGCATTTCCCCGTCTTAGTCATGGCCATGGGTCATACATATAAGTTCTTTGGCTTCTCCATTTCCCATACTATTCTTAACCTACCCCTGTCTGTTTTGTAACTACTATTTATGCTCCTTATTCCCTGCACCTTTTCCCTCATTCTTACCCCTCCCCTTCCCCAATGTTAACCCTCCATATGATCTCCAGTTCTGTGATTCTGTTCCTGTTTGGGTTGTTTAGTTCAATTTTGTTTTTTAGGTTCAGTTGTTGATAGTTGTGAGTTTGTTATTTTACTATTCATAGTTTTTATCACCTTCTTTTTCTTAGATATGGCCCTTTAACATTTCATATAATAAGGGCTTGGTGATGATGAACTTCTTTAACTTGACCTTATCTGGGAGGCATTTTATCTGCCCTTCCATTCTAAATGAAAGCTTTGCTGGATAGAGCAATCTTGGATGTAGGGCCTTGCCTTTCATCACTTTGAATACTTCTTTCCAGCCCCTTCTAGCCTGCAAGGTCTCTCTTGAGAAATCAACTGGTAGTCTTATGGGAACTGCTTTGTAAGTAACTGTCTCAGCAAATACAATAGCAAAATGTATAGACAAGAAGACAAAAAGGAAAAACAAAAACAAATTACCTGAATGTAATATTAAATTATATTAAGTGTAAAGGTGTGTGGTATTTAAAGCACAGTTATTTGCTGTTTTTTTTTAGTGCATTTACAAATATCTGTGCTCTTGAGATTATTCACATCTCTCGTCTGTGTGGTAGAAACATCACATGGCCACGGTCACTGCCATGCATCTCTGTCCAGTTCCACTTTCAGGAGCGTTACATTGGCCGCGTTACATTGGCTGGCTGTGATGGGGGTATTTTACACTGTGGAAATCAGCAAATGCCACCAGTCAGGGCTTGATTTATTGTTTTATGGATCAATCTAGACAGTGGTGGAGACAATGTCAATCATGCAGGTTAAACTTAAAAGTGTCCTGTCTGGTGCTGTTACACCGTGAACAGCATGAACAGTTGAGAAAATGTTCTTCCAGGATTTGAAAACTGTTATCTAATTCAGCGAAGTCACTGGCGTGAAGTTAGAACACGCATCTTCATTGTTTCGTTTCATCTTCCACGTTCACATAAAAGGAACAGCCAGCCTTCACATTGGAACCACCTTCCTTGGCCATTGGTGCAAGAGGAGGGCAAAAACCTGTGGAAGAATTTCTGTGAGATGCCTGAAATGCAGTGGAGACATTTGCTATGTGGATTTATAAGGACGGGTTTTGTATAGTTTGTTACGACATGTAAACTGTGTGCTGCACATTCTTTATACCAGTAAAATCTGCAGTAAACTTATGTACCTACATACATGAATACACCCCCCCCCCCAGCCCCGCCGTTAACCGTTTGCCAGCACACCGCTGTGGGGGGAGGCTGGGCGCCAGGGGAGCAGCCAGAGCAAAGGTTTGGCATCAGGAAACTGCTGGGTTATGTCTGGGCGGGGACTCCGTTCATCTCACACATCCTAGCTCAGTAGCAGCCCTTCCCCGAAGACCTCTCTGGTCCCTCGGGCTGGGTCTCTGTCCCACGTTCCCTTGTGTGTGCCCTTCACTCACCACCAGTGGGAGAAGTGGCCGAGTGGGGTGTGGAGTACAGGCCTGGGGGCTAGACCGTGGGTTTGCATCCCTGCCATGCTGTAGGCCAGCAGTGTGACCACATATGATATGGCACCCGATCTCTCTGTGCCTCAGCTTCTCATCTGTAAATGGGGACAGTAATAGGGCCTGCCTCAGGGGGCTGCTGTAGAGAGCAGAGGGCTCATCCTGACAGCGGGCGATGTGTATCCGCTGTCACCTCTTCAATGTGTCTTTCCCACCACACTGAGCTCCTCCCAGCAGGAACCTTTCCAAGCTGGCATTCCCAGCATATCGTGGGCACATTGGTGGCCACTGTTGAGTGACTCAGGCCTTCTAACCTTTAGTCCACTCTTCTGTGAACTGTACCCACTGTCCCAAGACCTTTGCACTTACTGTTCCCTCAGCCTAGTGCTCTTCCCCTTCATATCTGCACATCCTGCTTCTTCGTCTCGTGCTCCAACGATGCCTCATACGAGAAGCCTTCCCTGACCACCCTCTGTGAACAGCATCCTGCCCTCCCATGTCAGCCTCCCCCGTGCGGCTCCGTTCTTCCTCTGTCAGCCTGCTAATGGTCTATTTTGGTCTCTGTTGGGTCACTAATGCCCAGTCTGGTAGATGCTTATCAAATGTGTGAATAAATATTTCTTTAAACCCTCAGGTGCTGGTCTTGCTACCTTTCCTCTGGCACCTGCCCCTCTGCCCCACTGAGATGTAACCTTCCTTCTGGAAGCCCACAGCCTCCACACACTCAATCCAAACTCCGACCCTGGGCTCAAGCCCACCTGCCTGTTCTAAGTTCTTTCTCTGACCAGCTGAGGATTTGCTGGCATTAGCATTCATTGCAGGTGCAGAGACCAGCAGCCAATACCTCATAATTACAAACCAGTCTTGGACAGAAGGCAGAGTTCCAGTCCCAGCAGCTGGAACTCCAGGACCTTGGTGGTTGCAGCCCTTGGAGAGTCAGCCTGGCCGTGAACATCCCTGTCTTCTCTTGTCATGGCTCCATTAGGGACTTCGGCGGATGCCTGCGGCTCGCCCTCAGTGGGGGATGGGGCCTCCAGCCCCACACCCGGGAGTGCAGCTTACATCCGCTTTCTGTGCTTTATGGACGTCTGAAGATCATCCTTTTGATACATTTTCTCAAATTCTAAAATGGGTTTTTTTTTGTCTTTTTTACATCTTTCCCTCTTAAAGATGAACTGACTGGAATCCTTAAGAAATTGTCACTGGAGAAATATCAGCCCATTTTTGAGGAGCAAGAGGTAAGGATGTTCTTTTTGAATCTCAATTTAAACCTTGTTGGCTAAAAATTGTCTAAATCTTGTCTTTCCCGACTGCTTCTGCTTGTTTTCCGTCTGCCAGCCTAGACTGGTCATTTTCGCTGTGAGAGCCGAGGAACTGGAATTCGTGTTCAGCACATTTCGTTCAGTCCACAACAGTGAAATTCTGGGGCCCTGAAGGCTTGTTGCATTTTATAGAATCATTGAGCACTACTCTCTCTCAAAGTTTGTGTCTGTCCTCCATACACTTGTCCATGGGGACTGACCGACAGGGTCTCGGGTTTGCAGATCCCAGTGAATCTGTTGTGTTAAGCGTCTGGATGCAGAGTCAGTGTTAATCCGAGAGAACTCCTATTTACTTAAAAGCACTCACAATCACAGACTTAAAATAGTGCTGTTTTGCAGTTTAGCAGTTTCTCAAAACGTTAAACATAGAGTTACTGTATGACCCAGCAAGCCCACCCCTAGGTACACCCCCACAAGAGAGGAAAACATAGGTCCACACAAACACTTGTGCACACACGTCCGCAGCAACGTCTATTCACAGTAGCCCAAAAGTGGAAACGCCCCAAATGCCCATTAGTTGAACAGATAAACAGAACATGTTATCTCTGCCCCATGGAATACAAACTGGTCCTCAAAAAGGAATGAAGCTCTGTCATGTGCCACAACACGAACAAACCTTGAAAGCGTGATGCCAAGTGAAAGGATGAAAGGAGCTGGTCACAAAAGGCCATGCGTTGTACGGTTCCATTTATATGAAATGTCCAGGACAGGCAGTACCAACAGATTAGTGGTGGCCACTGAATACAGTGGGGGCGGGGGGAGAATGGGGAGGGGTTTCTAACGGGGATGAAAATGCTCTGAAATTGGGTGTGGAGATGGTTACACAGCTCTGCCCCCAAAGTCTGTGAGTCGCATGCTTTAAATGGGAGAGTTGTGTGGTAGGTAAATTATACCTCAGTGCGTTGTTAAAAAATTTCCTGTTTCAGCCAGATAAAATTTCTCTGCGGCCCACAAGGCAGCAGGGTGTCGTCACTGGTTGAGATTCTGGTGCCCGGTTTAGTAGTACGTGAAACCATGGGATGAGCAGTTGCAATCTCAAGAACCAGTCACTGCCCCCAGTGAGCTTGAGATGTAATCGAGGAGTTTGAATTTTGTTTCAAGAAACAGACTGGGTGCTGTGGTTTTCTTCCTCGGTTTGCTTTTCTGCCCTGTCCAGTCTGTCCATTCCGCCTCTCAAGTTTTAAAGCAGAGCAGTGATTTTTCTCATGAAGAAACCCTTTCCTGTTTGCGATGGCTCTCTACTGTCATTTGATGTATCCCGTGCCTTCCGAAGAGCTGGCCGTGGGGACTGGATGTGGGTTCCCTGCCACAGGTCTGGGATGATGGGGAGAGGGGAGTGTCCTGCAGGGCCAGGGGCCGGCTGGTTTCAGCCAAAGCCACACCACTCTCTTGCTCAGCCCGTCAGCTCCTCGTGAGCTATGAAGTCCCAGAGGAGCTGGTGGTCAGAGAGGAGGGAGGTGCCTGCGTCTCACAGAGTTTGGGATTGGCTGAGGGAGCAGACCCTGTCCCAGGGCCGCAAAGCTGGGTCAAGACTTTCTTTTAGCCCAGGAAAGTAAAGTGACTGTTAAAAAAGAAAAGGAAAGATGGGGTGGAAGCTATTTCTCCTGGAGCTGAGGCATGGGCAGGGATGACAGCAATGTTGGGATTGCTTCAGTGGAGACCAGAGATCGTACGGCTTTGGGACACCCTTATCCTGGGCTCCCCTCCACCTTCGTTCTCCGCAGCACTGCTCTCCTTATTGCTTCTGCTCGTTCATTTTCTCACTCTGTCTTTCCACAGTCTGCATCTCTCTTGTCCTCAGGGGGGAATCCTGGTGAGTATCCGCATACACCCACATTTTCTGTGTAGGAGCCAGCATTGTTCAAAGTCCCACAAAACTGGAATTTACTTTCTTATGGAATTTACTTTCTTATAGCAGGACCTGGGTGTTTTTACAACTCTAGCTGCCCAGATTACTGCCTTGGGGGCCTTTTTTTTTTTTTAAACTTGTTTCTTTTCCAGGTTCTTTCCAAAGTACACTCTCTTGGAAACCCCAGGGCTAGAGCTCAGGAGAGTTAGTTCTTACTGATATTTTGCACTAAACTTTCAGTGTTCAGTCAGGAATTGGAAATAGTAAGTTATAATTAACTTCACTGCTAATAAGTACTAATAGCTCATAATCATGATATTTCTGCTGTAGTTGGAAAAAAGAGATGCGGCACCAAGCAGATGGTGGCGAATCCCCCTTCTTCCTTCCCAGGTGGACATGGAGGCATTCCTCACCCTCACCGACGGCGACTTAAAGGAGCTGGGCATTAAGACAGATGGGTCCAGGCAGCAGATTCTGGCAGCAATTTCTGAACTGAACGCAGGCAAGGTATTGTTCTCAATCTCTCTCTCTCTCTCTCTCTCTCTCTCTCTTTTTTCCCTATTTCAAACAGCTCAGAGCTTAAAGGACCTTAGGTGGTCTAATTTTATCTCCAGCAAATCTGGCAGAGGCTGGCCCCACGTGCATGCTTCCCGCTGCCTCCCATTATGGCCTGTGCCTCTTCCAAATCTCTCTTCCCATAAAGTTAGATTCAGCTAAAAGATTCCCTCTGGTAATTCCAGCCCTCAGGGCTGAGACTGAGCTCCAGAGCACAGGGGAAGCAGAGACATTGGAACAGATGTCCCCTGGAGTCAGGTGGGCCTGCAGGTGGAGTCACAGCACCTCGCTCACTCCCTGCATTTCTCTGGGCGAGTCAGGCACCTCCCCGAGCCGGGCTTTCCCCATCTGCAGGGTGAGGGCAATGGCATTGCCGCCGGAACGAAAGTGCTAAGCAGAGACCCTGGCACACAGAGACCCATCAGTCAGCATTGGTATGATTGGTGTCCTGCCTCTTTGCCTAATGTTAAATTTCTGTTTTATTGGCCTTGAAGCTAAAGATTAGCAATGCCTCCCACCCACACATGTGCAAACACAAACAAGCAAACAAAAAAATATGAAAAGCATCATACCCATTTTGCAAACAGTCGCTGAGTCATGTTTCAGCCACATCAGGAGCCTCACACTCCTTCGCCTTCTGCGTCCCCACCCTGCTCCCCCACCGTGCCGGCGGGGTTCCTGGCCCTCCTTCAGACAACAGTGTGTGGTACTTGTGCGTACTAGCCACCTCTCGGTGGCTTTTCCCACTCGACCTAACAGCTCCCCACTCGTCGAACTACAGCACCTTGCCTGAGATTTTGCCATTGTAAATACCACCGTCATGGACATCTCTGCCTCTTTTCTTTCTCTTCTCTGGTCGTGTTTCTCAGGCTCTGTTCCACAACACGACGTTATGTCAGAGAGCGTGATTCTTTCTTTCTGTATAGTGCCAGGTACACACAGAACTGCCGAACAGACTTGTAGCACCAGCAGCAAATAAATATTCAGGTAGCACTTTACATTCATAAGCCACTTTGCATACATTGGGCTCACTTACCTTGTGGACCAGGAGTTTAAGGACCCTCCTCCTCTGGTCTTCAAAGGCTGGACACCTGAGCCAAGGAGAGGATATGGAGGGGGGGAAGCCACGCTTAGGCCAGTTGAGGAAGAAGGACAGAAAAAGTTCCAGACGTAGAGCCAGTGAGGACTGTGGAAGCGCCTTGGGAGGAAGGGGAGGAGCTGGGTACCCCCAGAGCCTGGCCTGGGCATGGTGGATGGTCACCTCTGATGCTTCCAGACCTGCCCTCTGCCTTCCGGGCTGCAGCTTCCTTGGCCCATGGTCGCATAAGGAGGACAGACAGGGCTGGTTTGAAAATCTTAGGAGCTTCACCAGCACCATCAGAGGGACAATGTAACATTGTAAGTCCATTCCAAAGGAGAACACTTTTCCTTAAAGTCTGTGCTGATTGGAGCCTTTCGCTCACTTTCTCTCAAACTCCTCAGCCCCCTGCTCTATTTCTGTAGTGGTCTGCATCCTGTGCTAAGCAGGAGCCCATCTAAAGATGCGGAAATGACAGCTATTGGTGGTTGTCTCAGTCTCTTTGGGCTCCCTAACAAAGCATCACAGACTGGTGGCTTGTAAACAATAGAAATCTCTTTCTCAGAGTGTGGAGGCGGGAGGTCCAAGAGCTGGGTGCCTGCAGGGAACATTCTGGTGTGGGTCCCCTTCCCAGCTGCAGACTGCTGCCTTGTCCCGTATTCTCACGTGGCGGAGACCAGAGAAGAGCACACTCTCCCGTCTCTTCCTATAGCGGCACAAATCCCATCACGGGGGCCTGTCCCTCATGGCCTCATCAAAGCATAATTAATTACTTCCCAGATACCATCACATCGAAGCAGGGTTTCTGTGTGTGAATTTTAGGGGAGGCCCCAAACATTCAGTCCGTAACAGTGGTCTTCCTTGGGGGCCCCTGCTGACCGGCTTCCAGCACAGAGAGCCAGGCGCTTCTGAAATGCCAGGCTGTGGGAACACCTGAATCCCACCCCCATCCTTCCTACAGGCAGCGCCCACCCTGCAAAGTCAGATGATTCCACAGGGAGGCAGGTGTTCAGGGAAGGAGTTGATCTGAACTAATTGTTGGAGAAAGAAAGGCTCTCTTATTCTAGGGTGGATAGAACCAGACAAAAGTCTTGGAAGTGAGGATTGTGTATCATAGTGTCAAGGTGTGACTGGGAGAAGTTTAACATTCCACAGGCAAGTTTATCATCATTCTCCCCGGTTACCATCGCAGCTCTATCCTGGTTCTTAGAAAGAGTCAACAGGCCCTCAGGCCAAGGAAGGTTCCCAGAAGCCCTTCAGATGCTCTGGGTCTCAGCTCTTCTGGGCTGGACTGGCCCGATCTTGACTTTAGGGGCTCCTGCTTATTTCTTGATTGCTACAAGGCATGAGCTTCCCTTGTAACACCCATACCTAGTCCTCTGCAACCCAGCCTTGGCCGAGAGAGTACCCATTGTGGCCCAGGTGTCCTGTGCACATTTGTCAACCCAGACCAGGACAGTGACAGCTCTCCTTGACCACCAGTCTTTCCAGCGAGGCCCATGGCTGGAGCCTCGTGGAACCAATGTAGTGGTTCTTAAGTGGCATTTTATAAAACAGACTAGAGTAGAAATGATCGACATGCTTTGCAGGTAGGAAGGGTAAAATTTATTTCAGTTGTATATATTTACATGTAATAGTGTTATGATATAAAATATATTTCTTATGCAGTCAAAAAAACTTTAAATGTGTTAGCCTAAATTTAAAAAAAAATGAGTGTTAACTAAAAACTGGCCCAGCCTTAACAAAACATCGGCAGAGCACTGTGGGCCCTCGGCTGCAAGCCATGCGACTTCTGGGTAGACCTCTCTAGTATTCAGGTCATGACCTGTATGTGAGTCTGCTGATGACCTTGCCTGTCCCAGGCAGTCCGTGTGGGGGAAGGGCACCCAGAAATGAGGCCTGGGTTTCACCTCTAGTCGGTCCTAAGCCATTGATTACTTTTTTCATTCCCACTTTTTTGTGATTATCAAAGCATGCATCTTCATTTTGCATGTACAAAGTTTGCACTGTATGAAAAAGGTGTTTTTTTAAAGAAATCACAATCCATCCACCCAGAGGCCAATAACTGTTCAAATTTGGAAAGGTCACTCTGCAGTGTTTTGTGCTAAATGTTTTTTCTTTTTAATCCTCTCCTGAGGACATGCTTATTGATTTTAGAGAGAAGGGAAGGGAGAGAGAGAGGAGAGAAACATCAATGTAAGAAACATCAATTGGTTGCTTTTCATATGCACCCCGACTGGGGGCTGAACCCACAACCTAGGTGTACGCCCTGACTGAAAATCAAACCCGCGACTTTTCCATTTACTGGACGGTGCTCTAACCCACGGATCCACACAGGCCAGAGCAAGATGTTCTTCTTTACGTGGCTGAGATACATTCGGATTTATAATTTTATATTCTACTTTATTTATTTAATATGAAATATATGTACTTACCTGTGTCATTAAGAGCTCTTTTAATATAATAATTTGTATGAGTGTACTAAAGTTATTTTTTTAATTCCTACTTAATTGGATATGTAGATGTCCAGACTTTCTTTAAATAGTATGGCCGTGGGCAACTTTGTGTGTAAGGCCTTCTAATTACCTGCTCAGAACAGGTGTAAAAGTGGAATCTCAAGGTCAAAGAGTCTGATTTGAGCTATACGTTACCTTTTCTTGAATTACTTTCCAGAAAGAGCCATTGAACATCCCCACCAGCTGTGGGTATGAGTTTGGTATGTTTTTTTTTTCAATTGTTTCATTAATTTGATAGGCTAAAAAAAATGCGCTTTGTTTTATTTTGCATTTCTTTAACTGCTAGATATACTAAACACTTTTTTCTACTTTTAATGGCCATTTGCCTTTTCCTTTTGAGAATTATCAGGCAGGTCCTTTGAAACTCAGGGGTTTTTAAAGGCCAGTTATCATTATCGTCTTGAGTCAGTGTGGATGCAGGAACGACTGTGGTTTTCATCATCCACGGCTCCCTCCCAAGGTGAGGAGGCAGAGACTGCTGGACCCCTGTCTCGCCCTGACCTCATTTTGCAGGCAATTAAGGCCAAGGTAGTGTTTAATAACGATGGCGCTATCACCCCTCCTGGTTATGTGTTTGCCCTCTGCAGTTTGCACAGTGTCGGCCCATTCATTATCTCAGGGTGAACCTCATCACAGCCCAGCATGTGACATTTTCCCATCTTACGGGTATGGAAGCTCGGCAGCAGGGGGTCATGCCCAGGATGCCTCCACTAGTGGGTGGTAGGATGGGGACTCATGGTCCTCTGACCCCACAGTCACTTCTCTGTCCCCTGCCCGCAGTGTCAGGTTTGTGTTGATGGAACCCCAGAACCGACTGAAGGGGGACCCCCGCTGTCCCCTCAGGTGCCTGGGAGGCCACTTCAGCCCTAGGAGTCTGGAGAGGGACCCTCAGCGTGTGGGGATTTCATGAAATGCAAGAAGAGGAAGTTTGAAGTTCAAGTCAATGGACGTTTTTTCCTTTTTATTCTTAGCAGAGGATAATCTGTGGGAGATTATTCATTTTTAATGTGCTTTGTGGGGGCGACTTCTTTGCGAGTCCCCCTGGTGCCACAGACATGAGTGAATATGACTGAGACATGATGAGATCTGTTTGGGGAGGAGGAGTGGGCTGTGGCCAGTTTCTCAGGGGAGACAAAGGCCAACTGCGGCCAGTTCCTCCAAGGAGAAAAAGGCCCCGAGCGCCCTCATCCATAGCCTTTTATTGGGTTGTAATACACAGGAATACAGGGTGACAAGGATCAAACAGTAGATAACATTTCAAAGAGGTCTGAGGGTTTCAGTCTGAGTCAGTGTCTGTCAGGAAGAGAGTTGCAGAAACTTTGGGAGACATACTCATTTCCTCTCGGACCCTTATCATTACGAATGAAAGCACTCTTAGCAGAGCAGATTTCACAGGTTTATCAGCAAGTCTTTGTGATGCCAGATTTTTCCCCAGGACATGCTCTAGCAAGGCAAGGAGCTGTACCTCTCCGCAGCAGGTATTCAGGCTTAAGGGGATTAGAGCCAGGAAGCGCTTCTCCCACAGAACATGGGGACTTGGGCTATGTCAAAGCTGGGCGGGGGGGGGGGCCGTGAGAGTCCATTGCTCTTTGTTGCAGCCCCCCTCCCAGTCCTTCCATGATGGCCCCCCAAGTAATCGAGTCTGGCTTAGGTTACCCCCCGCTGTGAGGGGTCTTACCCGTCATTGGCTTCTGACCAAACTTTGGGGGCAGGGAGAGGAACTAAGGCAGTGTTTGCTACCAGAGACAAGCTTTGTCTCCTGTGGCTGGCATTCCAAAGGTTGTCTCTCACCCTTAGCCACAAGGGGCAGAGATACAATTCCTAAAATCAGGCAGAGCGGTCTACAACAGTGCTTTACATTTTGGCCTCATTTATTTGTTAGCATGTTTAAGCCATGCTGCTGCCTTCTGCTGCGAACACAGGGCCCTATGTCAGCAACAACTGCTGGAGGTACTGTTCTTATCCCCATCTTACAAATGAGGAAGCCAAGGCACTTTGCTCAAGGTCATACGGCTAGTAAATGGCAACTCAGGATTTGAACTCAGGCTGTTTGATTCTAGTCTCTAGTCTCAACCTCTGTGTATTGCTGCCTCTTGGACAGTCAGTTATTCAGTGAAGATGTTCTCTAGGCTTAAAGAAACATTCACATCCCCCCTGTTTTTCTATCTCAAAATGTGCGTGCAAGGGGACAGGAGGGGGAGAGCTTGCAGGGATAGGGCGAGAAGTGAATCACTGTGAAGAGGAATCTGACATCTTCTGGGCAAAGACAAGTAAGGCTGTTCAAACTCTCACGCTGTGGCAGCAAGAAGTTTGGCTTCCACTGAATTCCCTGGAAATCCGAGGGCTGGAAGGAGGCACAGAGCAGAGCAGGGGAGGAGACCTCCCTTCCATGCCGTGTGACCCCCGCAAGTCCGTCCTGCTTCCTGAGCTCTGCTGTCCACCCTGGTCGCGGGGACTGGGCTCCTGCGTCTCTGGCCCTCTCCAGTCTTTGGCATGCTGTGATTGTGGGTGCTGGGGAAGAATCTGACTCAGAGTGTTTTTACTAAACGTGGTACTCTGTCAATTAGGTAATTCATTTCCCCCAAGACGCCCATGGGTTTTTCAAGTGTGAGTTGAGCATTAACAACACTGTGTCAATTGAATTAATGGTTAAAAGATTTAACAAGGCTTTCTGTGTCTGTTTTCAATTTCCTCCACAGGGACGTGAGAGACAAATTTTACAGGAAACCATTCACAACTTCCATTCTTCCTTTGAGAGCAGTGCCAGCAACACCAGGGCCCCTGGAAATAATCCCTGTACATGATCCTCCTTCCTGTGGTCACCAGCGTGAGCTTTTGAATCTCGGCGCTGCCTTCGCACAGCCAGTGTGCCAGCCAGCCTCAGCTCTTCACCGTTCCCCGAGACACACCATGCTCTGTCACGCCGCTGTGTCTTAGTCACATTGTTCCCTCTACCTGGAACACCCATCTTCCCTTCTCTGCTGTAGTAGCTGGTGATGCTCGTGGCTGTAACAAACTCCAACACACTAGACACTCAGTCTCACATAAAGTCCAGTATGGCTGCTTCTTGCTTGGCATGTGGTTTCATACAGTGATTCAGGGGCCCAGCCCCTTTCATCTGTGGCTCTGCCATTCCCAGGGGCTTCAGAGTCTTTGCTTCTGGCTGGCAGAAGGAGACAAGGATGGTGAAGAAGGCACAGCCCCTTCTCACTGCCTTGCTCCTGAATGTTCACAGCCCACGGCTCCTCCTGCTCGCGTTCACCAGTAGTCACGTGGCCACCCCTGGGTACAAAGGACGCTGGAAGGTGTAGTCTTTGTTCAGGTAGTGGCCTCACAGCAACAACTCTGTCCTTAGATGGGGAAGTGCATATTTTCTGCACATCTTCCCTTAAAACTTCTAACTTGCCCCTCACAGTCTGAGTCACTTGTCAAACGAAGCCTTTTCGTGACTCCCTTACACAGAACTAACCTCTCTGGCCACTGGGATAGTGCTTTGTGTACCCCTCTGCCATAGCCTGCCACTGTGCCCGCGGCACGCCGCATGCAGCAGGATGCGTGTGTCAGACGCACTTTTCTTTATCGCAGAGACAGCTTCTATGTAGGAAAAGGGGGAGGGGCTCACTGTGTGATCTGGCAGGATCCCTTCTTCTGGCTGCCAGTTTCCTCCCCTGTGGTCGGAAGGATGATCCACTCATACTCTACGCCGCTCCTCCCACACCACTGTAGGGCTTTCTGCACTTCAAGCGGGAGCAGAAGACCCTACTGTATTACATTGTGGAATGACTTCGGTGCTCACATTGTCTAGGCAAAGAAGCAGAGGATTGGGCATTTTTTTTTCTAGACTCTGTTAATACTCTGTTCCTCAGAAGGGCATCGGTTCATGTAGTTTTCTGCCATGTTATAGTATATGAGCAGGTCTCTGACTCGTAAACCCAGAGCTTTCTGGAGTGTTTTCAAGTGAGTAATTCGCTCGGTCAACACTTGCTGCACTTGTCTTGCTGGGTGCTGGGAGTGCAGAGATGAGCCAGAGCCAGTCCCCACCTTGAGGACCTCAATGGGCAAGGTGAAGGGATGATCTGACCCCAAACGTAAGAGGCAGCACAGGGGAGTGGAAAGAGCTTGTGTTCTAGACTAAGGCTCAGATCTAGCCCGGTAGGTGGCCACTGGGTAACCAGGGGCGGGTTCTTTGCCTCTTATTCGGAGCTTAGATCCAGAGTGCATAAGTACGTGGTCTGCAGAATATACCCAACAGATGGCAGCCTGCACAGAATTCTGATTTTTACCGTGAGCCCTGCCGGCTGCTCGTCTCCCACCCCCAGCCGTGAATGCCCATTTCTGCTCTGCTGGGTTTTAGAGGTGGTCATTACTGCTTCGTCCAGAGCTTGATCGAGTTCTCTCTCGGCCTGTCAGTTCAGTGGGTGTTGCTCCTTCTTCATCCTCCCACCTGCTGAAGCCAACTTTCCACATGACTGGAAAGAAAAGGTTTCATTTTAGCCATCGCTGACAGATGTCTTTATAATTGTTCCTCACCTCCCAGCCTTCTCTAAGGAGACACTTCTACTGGGCACCTACCGGTATGTGTGCAGAACCTTGACCTCAGTCTCATCCGCCCTCACTGCCGCTCTGAGGGTGGGCATGGTTTAACCCCATCCTGCACATTGGGGAGACAGGCATGGAGGGGTGAAGCTGCAAGTCTATTACACACCAGCTGGAGCAAACCAGCTTAGAACTGGATTGGAGGGCTTCCGAGCCTGTGCATCTTTTGAGGACTCACACAGGCTTCTGGAGCTGGAAGTACCAGGGATTCTTGTGACTTAACATACTCATATCTTCAGGGTTTATGGACAGGCCTTGAGCTATTTGCCCATGAAATACATTGCCTCTGAGTTATGTGCCTTGAGGTTCTGTGCCAGGTTTTCACTGTTGTCTGTTCTTTTCACAAACCGGTTATCAGTGCAGCTTCTACTCAGGTAAGTTTGACCGAACACCCACAATACGCAAGAGCTATGCTGGGAATCCACCTTCCACAAATGCATACCTCCGTGATCTCGTCTGATGACCCCAGAGAAGGGCTGATCATTCCCATTTTGCAGATGGGAAAACTAAGGCTCAGAATGGGAGCTTCTCTTGTATTTTTACCCGGACTCAGTGGTTCTGAGGCTTTTTCTCCCAGGAGGTTTGTGTGCTGGTTGGTAAGAGATTCCTGATACCTGTTCTGGGCCATGACCACTTTTCTGATGACCCTTCCCATTGCACGGATTCCTTCCCCCAGGACGCAGGTCCCCTCCACAGTATTTCTCTTGAGGGATGGCCTTCACCGCTTTTCCCCAAGCGTGTTCAGTCTGGGCTGCAGAATCTTCCCAGCGTGGGCCCCCAGTCTGCAGGCAGTCCTTCTCAGGAACACAGATCAGCATGGATGTCACAGCTGTCTGGCCTTGTGACTAGTTTCACAGGATGTCAGTAGGTTTTTCATTTAAAAAAGGGGTATATATGTGAAAGTGAGGTGAGGCTCTGATCAGATAGTTTTGGCAGACACTGGGTTACAGCTCAATTATATAACTTGCTGTATAGGGCACTTCAGAACCTTTAGTACAGAAGTGTTTGTTGGGCCTCACAAAGTGGGTCAGGTAGCTTGTGCCATTCCCCACACATTTGACCACAGCGTGCGCCTTCATGGTGCCCTTGCTAGATGGATTCCCTGGGCACAGGCAGGGAGACCCTGCTTTGATGAGGACAGTGGCAGCCACGGAGCCCCACAGCTCCTAGGAGTGGCTGAGGGTGTATTCAAGGGCCTCGTTGTCTTTGGTAATGGCCTCTCCTCTCCCCAGCAGCTCTCTGCAGAGGTGGCCTGCTTGGCAGTGAGACATTAAGATTAAGGGGTCCCTGACTTTGAGATGGCTGGGACCCTGCTCAGAGGGCTGTCCATCCTGTAGGGGTGAAGGCACTGTTTCCCAGCGGCTGGGCAGTGCCCTGCCTGCTGTGTGCTGGGTGTTCAAGCCCTGCCTCCCAATGGCCAGGGCAAGGCTCCCACCTTTTTGGTTTAATGCCAGCCCATCACATGGAAGCTGGCTAGTTGTGCAAGGAAAATGTTTATTTTTCATTCAGTGAACACTTACTAAGCATCTACCCTGTGCCTGTGTCATGCTGGTACTTCGAGTCCAGAGATGAAAAAACGCATCGCTGCCCTCAGGGAACCCAGAGCATCTCAGAGGGGACAGGCACGTAAGTGAAGCATTGCAGTGCCATGTGACGAGTCTTGTCATAAGGGTGTGTGCTAGGTCTGCAGCTTGGATGCTGTTGTCAGTGGCAGCCTGGACAGAAGAGGACACAGCTGGAGCCAGTCTGAAAGAGAGAGACCGTAGTAGGCAGGTGGGGAAGGGAAAAGACCCCCCAGATGCGGGACGGCATGTTTGAAGGCAAGCAGCAGAGCATACCTGTGGGTTAAATATTGTCAGGGGGTAAGGGAGATACCTGTTTTTCCAATTCCTCTTTCTTTTCTTTGAAATGCATAAAAGCCCCATGTAACCCTGGAAAGGGCACTGATTCTAGAGTCAGCCCTAGCACAGGGGGTTTGGCTCAGCCACTTTTTATGGGCTAAGAGCAAGAATGTTTCTTTCACTCTTGGAGCCTTGGTTTATCTTGGGGATTGCACACCACCACACCTCCAAGGTGCCAAGGATCAAGTAAAGGTGAGAAAGCCCTTTTCACACTGTGGAATTGTGCAGATACGAGAAATCTCCATAGAAGTTGCCTGTTAGGGAATCCCCTCTCCCCTCTCTCACCTGCCCGAATATAGCCATGGCTGGTGGGTGAGGCCAGAGGAAGCAGCCTCCAGCCAGAGGGAGCAGCAGCTTAGATGGCTTTGCTGGCATCTGGGCCCTGAGATGCCGGGGTTGGCGGTGGATCCCTGCCCTCCAGCTGTGCCTGACTCTGGGTGTCTGTGTCACTGGCACTCCCAGCAAAGTGGACAGGAAGACTTTCCAGCCAGTTGCAGGAGCTGGTCCAGCAGGCAGAGAGGAAGCAGCAAAGCCTTCCAGTTTGCTCTTGCCTTAGAGCTGCCAAAGACTGTCATGAGGCCCAGCCAAGGCTGGACAACCATGACATCCACACTGACCTCGGTTGCCAAGAAGGTACCTCCTGCAGACTGAGGTCCCGTTCTGGGAAGATTCGGCAGCTCAGAGTGAAGGTGTTGTGCAGCACCATCCATTCGGGCCCATCTGTCCTTGTCCATTTCAAGCAAGTAATCATGTGTTGTTAACAACTAGGTCCTGTAAAACATATAAGGTGAATGCCAATGCTATTCCTGATAAAGTCGATACCGAATTCTTCAGGACTAGCCAGGGATAGTGAATCTGTTCCCTGGGGGGTGGACTGCGAGTCACCTCCCCTGGGGTGGGGTTTCTTGAATAGTTCTGGAGGTCTTGCCAGGCTCCCTAATGGCCTGAGGGGACTCTTCTCCTCTAATATTCGGCCTAATAGGGGATTAGACCCTGACTTAAATTTCATCCGCTCAGCTGAGAAGCCAGTCTTTGTACACAGTGAGTCACCAAAGCTTGAGGATGACTGGAGAAATAAACAGTCACCAGTAGTGGGAGAGAACAGAAAGCCCAGTGGACTTGTCTTCGACTTCCTTCCAAAGCAGAGACCCCATCTCCCTGCCGCCCAGGGCTCCCTCCTCAAGGTCTTTCCTGGTGGGGTGAACCAACCCCCATCAGTAGAAGGTCCCTCCCAGGTTCCTAGTTCCTGTCAGAGCCTCCTCAGGGCTCACAGACACAGGGCATGGCTGTCCTCTCCAGGAGACCTTGTCTGCACCCTTCAGGTGCCTAGGGTAGGGTTTGGCCTCACCCAAGACCTTAGCAGGGCCATGGTATCCTTTGGTAAGAGACCAGGATGCCATTTTGTTTCAGCTCTGCAGAGTGGGTTCCATGTTCCTTACCACCACACTTTAATACTATTTTATTGTGATTTCCATACAGGGAATTGATTCTTTGAAGGATTTTCTGTTTGCCCAATGTATATTAAATAATGGTGAATCTTCTCACTTTGATTTTGCCCATTGAAGGTATAAAACCCTCCTCAGATTCCTTCCAGTAATCATTGTTATGGAGCAAGCACCTGGCATGCTGGGTGCTTCTAGAAGTGGCCTTGCCTCCTTCATCATAACCCTCTGAAGTTTTAAAGTTCCCTTTCTACCAATTTGGTGACTGTGGTACCCAGATATCAATGAACCTCACCAAGGTCACCTTATTAACAAGGGACAGTCAGTTTGCACATCTCACCTCTTTCTCGTTAAGAGTCCACATTTTCTCCATGCTGTCTTGCTCCTACCCAGCATGCAGAGGAATGTTGAATTGGTGTAAGCTCAGCCAATAACAACAAAACAATGCCTTGTTAGTCTATATAGCTTGTTCACAATTTTTTTTGATGGGGAGAGGCATTTATACTATAAATAGCTGGAAGATTCTCTGTATTTCCTCTAAGAATATAAGTTGGAAGAATGCCTCGTCTCCACCTCTCCTGGAATCAGGATTTCACTTTGGTGTGCTCATCCTTGTAGAGCATTTGGGGAACAAGGTGGGGAGGGTCATAGTCTGAAGAAAGTGGGATGAGGCCAAGGTCTGTGGAGCCCCAGAGGGCGGAGCAAGAATACTGGAGAGATCTTGGGAACCAGGGTTACCTGGAAAGGGGAGCAACCCAGAAGCTGGTCAAGCCCAGGGCAGCTGGAGAGGGGAAGTCAGACTTTGGATAAGGACTGGACTAGGCAAGTGCTTCCCAAATGACCCAATGGCGGAGGTGATATGAAAAAAACAAGTACAAGGCAATGCATTTACCTGACACTAAACACTCATTTTACAGGGTTGACCTTGATCTGGACAAAAGTTGGCTACTACTACTTTTGGGGGAGGGGCGGTGATGATGGTAGTTTTAGTTTACTGTTGTGTGAAATCCAAAATGTCTAAGAAACACTCTTCAAAGTCACTCTTGAGGTCCATTCCAGTCCTGAAAGTCTGTGAACCTCTATAAAAAGAAGGGATGTGGTTCCTCAATAAGTTAAACATAATCACCATATACCCCAGCAGTTCTGCTCCTAGATATGTGCCGAAGAATTGGAAATGGGTAGTCAAAAGAAAATTTGTGTTCAAATATTCATAGCAGCACTATTGACAATTGTCAAAAGGCAGAAACTTTGAGCCGAATGGAAGTCCTACAACTATAAAAAAAAGGTATAAACAATTTAGATGACCATTAACAGATGAATGGATAAAAAGGATGTGGTATGTATCCACAATGTTATTCAGCCACAAAAAGGAATGAAGTTCTGATCCATGCTATAACATGGATGAACTCTGAGAACATTGGGCTAAGTGAAAGAAGCCAGACAAAAAAGACCACCTATTACATGATTCCATTGCTCTGAAATGTACAGAATAGGCAAATACATAGATACAGAAAGCCAGGGCTGGGGGAAGTGGGGTGCCATTGCTTAATGGGTACATTTCTTTTGGGGGTGAAGAAACTAGAACTAGATAATGGTGATGGTTGTACAACATTGTGGACGTACTTAATGTCACTGAATTGTACACTTTAAAATAGTTCCAGCAGCACGTTTAATATAACATGTATAGAATATATATTATATATATTCTCTCTATATATATCAGAGCTTTAAAAGAAAAGAGGAGGAAAAGGGGAGCTCCCGACCTGGCTAGTCTTCCACCCCTGTGTCAGCCTGTTCCTTGTCCTTCAGTGGGAAAGACGAAAGCACCCTCGGTCTTCCTTGCGCTCTCGCACACACAGGTGGTACACGAGCCTTGCCGCATCTCCTCCCAGAAAGCGCTCCGCGGAGGGCGAGCCGGGCGGGAGGAACGGGAGGAACGGGACCGAGGGAACCCTCTCCGAGGGCCGGAAGCCTCCCGGGGGGCACCATCCTGCCCTCGGGCTCTCACTTCCGGTCTCCTCGGGTCGCCGTGGAACCCCAGAGCTCGGCTTTGCTCACTTGCTGCTTTTTATAGCAGAGTAATTGTCTCCACTTCCCTCACAATAAAAAACACCCCCTTTGAGTCTCAGGTGAGTGTTTTCGGAAGGGCTTACGTGTTGCCACGGAACCTGCTGCCCAGACTTCTCAGCCGTCCGGGTCTCCGAGGGGTCCCGGCCCCATGGGCTCCACTTCCCACCCCAGCAGGCCTCTGCCGCGTTCCACTAGACCCTTCCCTGGCACAGGGGTCCAGCCAGGGGCCTGTGGCTAAACCACAGGCCGCAGGCCGATCTCCACTCGGTGCGTTCCCGGAACCCCGGCTGTGAGTGGGGGCTTTATGTGAATGTGTGAAGGGGAATTCCGCCTGTAAAGAAGGATCTAGAATTCGAGGCTGCACGTCAGTTGCTGCAGCTTCTGTAGGTTGGCCTCATCAGCGAGGCGGCCTCACGACAAGTCGCTTTCACTAACTCCTCTCAGCAGTGGTCAAGACTCCG